GTAGTTTTGTTTTAGGAAAATTTTGTTTTATCGAGGTCGCATTTTTCCGCGGAAACTTCATTATTTTTGCCTTCACATCGCTGCTTAAAATCAAGGTGCGGCTTTTATGGCGCATGGCCTATAATCACGTAAATACAGAGCAGAACTTGGCTTTCATATTCCACAAAAACTGCGAGTACTTTGTGACAATGACCCGCTCACATTTTTAAATGGTCGATGGAGGTTTGAGGATTGAATCCATTGACGTGTTATTCTGACATAATGGCTTCGTGCGTGCTGAGAAGCGAAAATGATTTATTTGCGATTCTGCACGGGAATGAGCAAGGTGAACAGTGTTTCGTGCCACCGCTCATTCAGTCTGCGAGAGATCGAGGGAATGGCCCGATTAATGCTGACACTTGGGAAGATCATGAGTACTTGATCTACACGATCCCATAATCTTTGCTGCAGACCCTGTTGATGCTACTTAATTATCCAGAGAGGCAGTGAGGCGTTTGACACAGGCAGGAACACAATCCCGAGGGGGAAGCGATGGGTATTCTCATTGATAACCCCTCGGAGCGGGAAGCTGGTTTTCTCATCTGAACTTCGCAGGAGTCCCCGGCGTTATTCTCTTGAAGTATCGTCGGAAGTTCCGAAGCTCGCTTAATCGGAAGTGGTTACTGGGTGATAACCCGCGAGTTGCGATCTATTGCACAGACGCCATGGAAATCTAGTAGTCGTGTTTGTGAACGGCGGCGATGTGCGCGGGAGTTTGAGAAAACCCTCGAAATTCATAACATCTTGTGTATGTTAGGGCCTATTAAATGCCGTCTATCCCAGACCCCCTCATGCACCCGGTGAAGTGCAAGTCTTTCAGGTTGCCGAGTGTGCGGGACGGAGTTGAGATGGAGGGCATTCGAACAGGGGGAAGGAGGGTGGAAGTGAAGGAAATATTTCCCTCTCTCGTTGAATTATCTGGCTAGCCTCTTATTTTGGTGTGTGCAGGGCTCGATTGTGGCTCATATGAGGAATATATGCACGACCCGGCTCTGAGAACAAGAGAGAAGCATTGTGAGTGCTTGCTGTAGAACTCCTCTGACTCCCTCCCCGTTGCTGTAGCATAGGTGTTCAGATGAAAAGCTTCATTTCAACTGTGTTCTTTCGAGGAGAATTTCCCCGTAATTGAACTCATACCCTCCCGCTCCCCGACATCACAGGGGCTGGAAATAGCTACGAGCCTATAACTTGAGCAAGTTAAAAGTTTGCAATGGGATGCATGTCGGTGCCCGAGGCATGCATTCACGATTAGATTTCCCACGAACTGTAGGATCTTTTTCAAGATTGAAGCTGGAAGGATTCCTCCCGAATATACTGTATATATTTTTTCTCTCTACTCCCTGACTGGTTGACTTCATCAAAGGGAGCGTTCCTCCGACTCCATTCTTCTGAGAGCCTCTGCTTCAGTCTCGCGAGTATGAACAAAACCCAGCCCTCCCATCTGCCGGAGATGGATGCATTTTAATCCAGCTATTTCGTGGATAAATTTGAATGCTCCCCTCTGTTCGGATACATTTTGAAATATGAGCATTGAAAAGTCGTGTAGCTTGAAAGACTCCGGTGGGAGTATCAAATGGCATTATATGGTTCTTCATTCAAACAGGCTCGGCCTTTTCAATGGAGATGAGAAACTCAATAATTATGTTGGCAATATACTTTTCAGATTTATTGTTCCTAGAAGGAACCAGCTTTTTTTAATGTATGCTAGGCAGAAAAAGTACAGTAGTTCATACTTCTACAAGCACTCATTCGATAGGTTTATTTCGTGTCGACAATGAGTTTCTTTATTTGTCCTGTCGTTTCTCGTAAATTCTGCACACTTTCTTGCATTCATCCATTTCTCTTGCAACTTGTCAATCAGTCAAGCTGCTTGTGTGGCATTTATGAAGAATCGGGCTTATTTTTCCCTTTAACCTAAAACTGAGGCGAGCATTACTCCCATGAAAAATCATTGGAGGTGGAATATTTACAAAATATGGTACACGAAATTTAAATGCCCCCACCCAACTCGGAGAAATATTGAAAGACTGTATGAGCTTTGAAAAACTGGGTAGCTTGAATACGTCCGTCAGGAGAACCAAATAGCATTAGTTGGCAGACTGTCAGGGAAATTGAGCTTTGTGTATTGAGAACGAGAGTAAATAGCCTGCATCGTCTGGCGCAGTCCTTATACTGTATTTCCGTTTCTTCTTTCATTGTCGTCCCTTCTTGAGGAATTATGTCCATCTTTTTTTCTGGGAATAACTCAGAATACTGTGCTGCACTTGGCTCCTACTCCATTTCAGATACATCGTTGGAGAACATCGCAGAAAGTTTTATAGGTGACTAGAAGTAAACTCTACTCTAGGTTACCATGGAAACAAACAAGACAATTTATCCTGCTGCGGATTTTCTTCTGAACCTCTTTTTTTCTCCTTTGGTTGAAACGTGGACTTCATATATATATATTATATATATATGTATGAAACTCTCGGAAAATGTGCTTTTAGAGTTTCATGCTTCGCCGAATTCGATTGAATATCAGCGCATTTTCCTCTCAGTCGGTCTTTTTTTCTTCTCTTCCCTCTGTGCGTACTTTCTGTGTCGGACGGCAAAGTTGGTGACCGTGCCTGAAGATTGAAAATAAAAAATCAGAGGGATGATGAAGTTTTCTTCAGAGGTCAGCGACATGAATTACAGTGTGCGCTGTTTTCTTTTGTGCCGTGGTTGCAGAAAATTTTATTGCGTACCGAGAAAATCAATTTTATTTCTGCTGCTGGGCTTTGCAATTTGCATCTCTTTTCCTTACTTGTTTTCTCCCTCGATAGTGTGGAATTCCCGCGAGCTTTGCATTACTGTGAATTCCATCTGTGACCACGGCGCGGAAAGAAACTGTCACCCCTCCCCAGAAGTAGGATGAGGCTGTGAATGTAACTCATGAGTATGTCCAAGAATCAAACACATCGCATGCAAACATAATGCTTTTTCTTCTACTACTTCGCGATAAAAGACACGAGTTAATGTGAAAGCTGAAAAAACATATTACGTGAAAAATATACGTTCTTGCAAAAGAAGCATAGGACGCAACGTAAGTGTTACTGATTTCGAGTTCAACAATTCTATTTATCTCTATTGTCCGTAGAATCTTTACTTGATGATAATATCTCCACGTAATATTTTACTCTTGTTAAATTAGGATAGGTCTAGTGAAGCACAGGTCCATTCATATTGAATCAAACAAAAGCTGAAGATGAATAGTGTTTCTGGCTCCATTTCCATAGAATTACATCAGGTTGGTATACCGTACTTTATCTAGTATCATATTGCCACTTTTTAATCATTACTACCCCCTCTCGTCTAATGTGAGTAGCATAAACTGACAGATGGATTACACAAGTTTAGTTATGCTGTATTTAGTTTTGTCAGATTGGTGACGTTTGGTTAGTTTATATTTTGTTAGATGTAGTCATATGTTTCAAATCTCTTTCATTTCATCGAGATCAACTGAACAGTGACAGGTTGCTTCGATGGGTTATATTCACGGATTATTCTAATTTTTCTTGTCAGGATCTATTCGGTCACGTTCCATAACGTTACGAACGAATTTTTAAAGAAAATATTCTTCAGTATCTCGGACTTGAAGATAAAGTACATTACTGTAATGATCTTGATGATTAATGGCATTCTCATATCCATGTTAATTATCGTCCGTACGTTTATTTCGAGAGGGAACGAGTTTTTTTTTCTATCTCGTCAAGTTGTATTGATTTTTTCGTCATTCACGGGAGTAGAGTCAAAAGGAGAATGTTTCTGATAGCTTATTTTCTGAATATTCCATTATTCTTCCGACATACTTCGTTGTTCTCTCGAAACAAACTCCATCCGGTTGCGACACCAACTGCCTCGCCTCCTTTCCCTCGCCTTTATAACGTCTCCCAATGATCTATTCAGCGCGATATTTTTTATTGTTGGCTCATGGAGTTTTAATGCTGTGCATCGCTTTCGATCACAGTATTTGCATCGCCATCAATGTAAATGATTCGCTGTCGAAAGGAAAATAGAGAGCAATGCTGCGAGATGAACGCGTATTCTTCATCATCATGCACGCTCGATCAGTCTGTAAAGCCCGCCTCTTTAGCCTGTTTTAAACTTATTTTGAAGTTCTTGCTTCTAAGAGTCGGTGTTCCACAATTTGAACGTAAGTACAAATGTGCTGGCGTCCTGCGTATTTCCGTCATCAATGGAAAATTTTTCTAGCGATTGTGCGTCGAATTTTTCAGAATGTGTGTGCTAACTATGAATCAATAAACCCCTCTTCGTCATCCTGGTTGAAAAAAAAAGATTACCCGCCTGAATTGGGCAATTGAAATTAACGCAAGTATCTCGCATTCTCCACGATTTTCCCAGCGATGCGACAATTGATCACAGAGAATCGACATATTCACGCCATTTCAAGCCGCAAACGATTTTAGTCCCCCATGATATTGGAAATCAGTTAGAGGATGTAAACTTTTCTAGCTGCAAAATTAGTTGAACTTTTGTAGCGAAGACTGCGTCTAACCCATGCGGAAAGCAGCACACATTGCAACTGGTCTGGAAAAGGTCATGGAAGTTTAAATGGTATAAAGATATTAGGGCTTGGTGAAAGATGCGTGCCATATTGAAATAACCTAGTAACGTCAACGTCATCAGGAATAATCTCTTACCTATTCTTCGTATGGCGAGATTTTATTTTCCTCATTTTCTTGGCGTGATCTCTATCCAGTCATGAAATGATCGTCATTACAGGCCACACCCCCCGGTGACTGTGGCCTATCGTGAATATTTTTATTTCGTTTACATTCATCCCAAGTTTCAATTGATTGGTCGTGGTGTCTGTTAACACTGTAATTACCGTAACTTCTTTTAAATCTTGATTCATGCTCGAAGTTTGATTCCGCGTAGATGATTGCATCCGCGAGTTATCAACCTACGTGTGTAGGATGCGCAATTTTGTCCACCCGAGATCGAAGCATGACTTGTAAGTGAGGCCAAATCCGGTTAGTATTCAACGAAACAGCCCGAAGGCGTTCGTGATTGAATTATACCTTGGCGCTGGGTGCATTAGTATGTATCTGTCTCTCTTCTCGAACCCTGATGAAGTTGGTCGATCTTGTTTGAAGTTTCATTAAGTGATGCAAAACAAACCGGGATCATTTTTAGAAACACCCCGGTGGCTGCGAGGGAATTTCCGCGTAGATGAGATATGTTGCTGGGCTAAAAAATCAACATCAGACCTGGTGTATATGTGCATTAGAGAATTCTGGATTTGATCGGTGTGGGAAGCTATGAAATTTGCATTGCAGAAATAGGTATATATTTAGCGAGTAGAACAAGTCTGCTGCAAAGAAAGCCGCGAGAATCGAACCAGAGTTGGTTTACTCGTGTTTGCTTTCTTTCCTTTCGAATTGGTTTGGTGGATGGAGAAGACCGCACGAATAAGAAATTTGCCTCTCAGTCGTTCGTATCTCACTCGTTCGGAAATTTCCCCTTTGTTTTGATTATCCTTCTCGTTTTCCTTATTAAGCGTTCATTTTCCGGCGTGCGTTCGCTAACGCAATGACGCGGCTTGATGACTTACCATGCATTCAATTATTGCAAGCTTGTCGTTCAGGAAAGCGCTTCGTTCCGGTCTTTTCCACTGCGAAACCACAGCTCGAACTCTGAACTCCATGGCGCAATGGACTGCATTACACAAGACGCAAGGATAATTTTCAGCCGAAGTTGAATCAAAAACGAAATAGATTCGAAACATAGAGCGCTGCTTAATTTTGTTGGCGGACGACGGTTCGTTATGTGAGGGATCTCGCTGCATAGAAGAGGTTCGACGTTGAATTTCTCTGGAAGGGCGGGGTCAGAATTGTGGAAGTGGATTTTTAATGTCCTTTTGACAGGACTCTGAATTGCTTCAGACACGCGGACATTTTTCTTGCGACACTTGCAGCAAGAATGTCGACCTTTTTCCCCCTTCTCTCGTTCGTATGAGCTATATTGCTCTCACTGTCCAAACTAGGCTCCAAGATTAGTTTGCTGCATTTCATGCGTACCCCGAAGGTTACCGTGGCTTTTGCGTCAAAGTACTCTAGTGTAGGACTCAGTAGCTATTTTGTTCCACTCCCAAGTCCCCACTTGTCACGCACGAGTGTCTGTGATTATGCTGAATTCGTGATGGATTCTGCTGCGAGATTCGAAATTCAAATCGCGCATCGACAACCGTTTCTTCGCGGAAGTGGTTGAGAACGATATCGCGCCAAACAAGAGCTCCAGCTTGATGTTAGTGACGTGAATAGGAATGCATTGTTCTGTCTGTGTACAAAAGAGCCTTCACGTTGGGGTGCTCCCGACAGCGATTGAATGATGATTCCTTCTCACGCAATGGATTCTAGACATGAACAATCCATCACATACCGCCTCAAACTGAGTATTCGAAATCGAATGGATCACGAATGCGATGCAGCGTTTTCAAAGGACCCTTCGAGGAGACTTCGGTGGCAAAACTTGTTTTTATTGCTTTTCCCGATTTCCATTTGCTACAGATTGTTATAGTCCCATCTCCGTCGAGCGGGTTACCGATACAATTTGCTCTGGCGGATTAAAAAAGTTCAAGAATTATATTTCAAATTACCCAGTGCTGTATTTCGCGGCTGTACCTTCTCAACGAATAATACGCTTAGGAAATTCAAGTGTCATTTTTCCGTTGTTCACGGAACCGCAAACCCTATGTATATAATTAGGAACACGAGAATTCGATCAATTCGAACATCCCCAGGAATTCAAAAATGAAAATTGTCTGCCGTCGATCATGAAAGGCAGTGTCGCTTGCTTCATCATGGGTGCACAACAAGAGAGGAACTCACAGAACAGCAACCGCAAAATAACGAGTAAACAAAACAGAGTGCCCAAAGCAGCAAACTCATGAAATGACATGTACAAGTACTGTGAGTTTCAAAACAGAAAATTCGCAAATAATGAAGCACAGGTTTGATTAGATTTCTGTGGTAACATTTTTTAGGTTCGGTGAGGATAATTCTTCGGTTGTACAGTACATTTCTTAGATGTCAATTAGGTTATGGCAGTTTGTTCAGGTTATTTTAGCTACGGTAGGTTTATCAGTTCAGCATCAGTGTCATTTTGATTCTTGGATACATTCTTTTCGAATCAACAGTGGTGCAGCAACGATACCTATAGCATTGCTTTACATTGGCACCTCTGCCTTTGCTGGCAATCCATGTGGGATAGCTCTTGAAACTCATTTTATACGTGTAACTTGCTTTTTTTGTGCCCTCTCATTTTCGGTACTGAATATTTTATTTAGTTCCTGCTTCGTGTACTCTCTGTTTTGGTATCAGCCATTATGTACACTTGTTTTATGCTATTTTTTTGCGACTTGCTGCTCTTGGGTGAGTTGTTATTTTCCCGTATAATGTAATCCTTATTCTCAGAGTTTCCCCTCCAGCGGTGAGTTTTCTGTTCATATTTCAGATTGCGCTGTCAACTCATCAGCGTCAGAACGATGTTCGACAAGTTATTGACATGGGTATTATTTGACCTGGAAAACATCCTGAAGCCTCCTGAAAAACAGCATTTTGCGAGCGAATCCCAGAACCCATCACGCAGGAGATGCACCCTTGTTCTCCGCGTCAGAATCAGGAAAAATCCATCCGAAATTTGCGTAAATGCATGTCTTTAATATTCGCAGAGACGTGAATAAATCAGATTTGCTTCCAAAATACATCAAATCCCCTGAAGCGCTTATCAGGAATATGTTGATTTGCCGCCTCTTTAGATTGGTTCGCATGAGTAAATTTCCTGAAGTCATTTAAATGCTGATGTCCTGGCTCTTTATTCCGGCGCACAACCTGACTGATGCTCTGTTTCGCAGAATCTGTCGATAAGCCTCGGACTGTTGGAAAGGCTCGATTATAGGAAAGTAGAGCGCAGCTGCCAATATTCCTTCATTCAGTACAGCACAACACTTTGCGGACGCAGCTGGTATTCGTGTTACGTTTCATATAGCATTCAAATGATATGCTATGTGTAATTTGAGCTCATGCAGTGACGGGTGAATTGCGAAGTGGTAATGCGGCAATTGATTGGTGGCATTTCCTCTCCTTCAAACGAGTAGACGGCTTTTGAATTCGGGACGTTGTTGAGGAAGTGCCTCGATGCCAGACATTTGCCGTGCGGAGAGTTGAGAAATTTATCTCCCAAACACAAACATTCTCAGTCCCCGGGTAAAGGAAAGATTACGCCGAAAAATACTATGAGAGAATGGATTACTTGGAAATTAATGTGATGGTTTCTTGTAGGGATGTCTGGTTGCCTGGATTATGTCCCTGTCCTGGCAAGGCCATTCATCATAGCCTGAAGTGCGCCTTGTAAATCGGTTTTCCTATCAGTTGGGGCATCAAACCCGAGGAGGATGTGCCCCTCGCGATGGAATCCGCCTGTTGAGTGTGCTACCGGGACAACAGACCCATCCGGGAAACAAAGGCAGTCTTGCTCTGATTGATGTCATTTCATGCATGCACGGACGTGCTCGGAATCATGCGTAAATGACGACTCATTAGATTGGGCTTCCCGAGGAGTACCAGGACATCGGGAGTAGGGACTCGGAAGAGAAAAGAGTTGTCCGGGATCCGCGCGCTGAGAAACGAGGGAGGGCGGCTGCAACGCGAAGCATTTTCATCTGGGGATAACTTTGTTCAAGGGTTCAATTTTCCCCGCGTTTTAAAAGAATATCTCATCATTCTAGGCGATTCTATCCGCGTCGTGAGCATGTTTTCTCTGCTGCTTTGTCGACCCTCTCCATCTCCGTTTTGTATCTCGTAATGATGACTGATGTGTCGGGGATTCCGCGAATACTGGGTTTCGAGCGTAAAGAACGACTTGAACCCTTGCACGCGTTGCGGCTCGCGCCATTCTTATTTTTGCACATATTTGCATGAGCAAAATTCGCCTCACTCTCGCCTGCCATGAACTAAATTCGGCTTCATCGTTGTGCCAGTTTACTCGCGGGGTCTTGCATTCATTTGCTGTTCAGGCTCACGACTGACTCTCCTCATTCGAACAGCACTCCCGATTTTTTCCTCTCGTAGGTCCCGATTTCTCCCCAGTGCTCGTGGCTCGCGTCCTCATCCGAATTCGTGTTTCTCCCTCTTCGTAATTTTCTCCAAGATTCTTTCCTTTATGAAAAGCCCGTTATCCTGTCGGGTCCGGGGCGAGCGGCAATTATTCCTTGATGAACCTCGTTACTTTTTCTCGAAACACGGCGTGACACACCTGCTTCGCTGGCAGCGGCTATTCTTCGTGAAGTTACGCTAACTTTGTTCCCGAAATGTGTGCTGCAGGTCGACCCAGGAGCCGCTTGCGTGGATTCCAGTGCCGCTGAAAAAAACTTTGACCTGGTGTGGGGATCGAGTTTAGATACGTCGCTGAGTGGATCTATTAGCCAGGGACGGGTGACGGAGCGATCGTCGGCGACAGGTCACAGCGCTCCAACTGATCTCTTGGCTCTGTTCATGGACAGTAACATTTGTCTAGAGAACAAATATAGGTAAGCTATCCTCACTCATTTGCCCGGTATAATGTCATTTGCTGGCGAAGATCGCGTATTCCGTACTGCTGCCTGCAATAAATCCTTCAATATGCTAATGTCCCGCGAGGAAGGGACTAACCTGACTGTACGGACTGTGTTACGATTTGGGACTGACGTTTCGAAGTGATCCATAATTTTTCCAGTTTTCTGAAATCCAGAGTAAAATTATATATGTTTTCAACGTGTACCTGGAACTAACCAAGTCTGTCGTAATACTGTACCTAACTGAAGTACTGTAAAATTCAACCCAACGAAACCCTACTTAATCTAACACAGTGTTCCCCGACCCATGGTCCGCGGACGGGCCTTGGTCCGCAGAAGTTTTTTTCAGTTTGCGAGAAATTTTTTTCTTCAGCGTAAGAAATTTGTCGAAAGTAGTAATGGGTTCGGTTATCTTTATGTGAAAATTTAAAAAGACAATGGCAGTTTAAAGAATCTGATGAAAAATAAAAGTTGGCTTTTCCCCTAATAACACTTCAGATAAATTTTCACCCTCTGAAATAAATTATTTTCATTCTGAGAAACCTTTATAGACCACCTTTCTAGTTTTTTGAAGAAATTGCTGCTTCATTGGTTCTTAGCTGAATGTCTGTAAAAAAAAACAAAAACTTTTCGAATACCTCCCAGAGAGCCTTGAAAAAAAAATTTTGAGTCTGCAAAAATTGCATGAAAATTGCCGGTCCGCAGGCCGAAAAGGTTGGGGAACACTGATCTAACACGTAGTCGAAAACCTGACTTGTATAATGCAAGTAACATTCAATGCAAATGAAGAGTAGTACTGAGGAAATTAGGTGATATATCAACGTCATCAGTCTGGAGTTATTCAATTCGTGGTATATCTGGAGAGGTTGGGTAGGAGCTGTATGACATCGGTGCCAGAGGCTCTATTGTAGTTCATGAACCTCATTTACCTTTTTGTTTGACGCTTACTATGGATGAACTGTGTTTCACTCCAATTATTCTCATTTCGCAATGATGGAGGCTTGTTCAGTTCTTTAACATTGTTAACGTTAAGGTCAGTCACACTTTTAGTGGTCTATAACGTACTATTGCAGCACCCTCTTTTCTTCGTTCGCTGGACAGCAGCACAGACAACTCGGAATATATATTTTCTTTCGTAAATTTCCATTAATTAACTTTTTCACCGTCTTCGGCCGAGCTTCGAAACACAGTGAAGGAAACCATTCATTATTTATGAACGCATGGAATTCTTTTATCGTTTTCCACCGTCCCTCATGTTCTACGAATGATGCCATCGTTAAAGTATTAAACGAGAAAGATTAGTTGTAATCTAGTACTTGTCTGTGTGAAATCAGTTTTCAAAGGTTCATTATCGTTCAACGAAGCGTGCGTTAGGGAGTCAGGCTCATTCAGGGTAAGGTGGCTTGAATAAATAAAGCACACAGGGCAAGCCAGAAATGCTGGAATTTCCAAGGAGCTTAATTATGCCCGCGGAAAACGCAAATTGCCTGTCTTATTTTCAAATATGATTGTCTACTCCGTGTAGGAAAGTTTAATCATAGTCTTTGCTTCTCTTGAGTGCATTTCTCTTTCCTGTCACAACCGTTCCTCCTCTCTGGAGAACAATGATCGATGCTCAGCTCCACTCCTATTGATGAGAGCTCGTTAAGAATTTCCTTATCTGTCCCGGTTCAAATTAGTTTATGCTTCACGTGTTCGGAGAACTAAAATAAATTGCTGCTAGAAATCAACGCTATGGCGGAATCGGTGGAGAAAACCGGAGGCTTACTGGGGAAGTATTTCCGGAAACCTGGTACCGTACTGTAATTCACTTTTACTTCGTTTGTTTCTCGGTTCGTGGCTGCATTTAGTATGTTTATCCCATGCGGAGAAATATATTGGATGTGTGTTCCGCGTCTGGTTAAATGAAGTCAAGGTGTTCTGAATTCTGTTTCCCGATGGACTTACACGACACGTGATTGTGTGTCTTCTTCCTTTCAGCAGTATTTCGCACACACGAATACCAAATTTTGGGTGCTATTTTTTATATGGTTATTATGTATTGCATCAATAATTCCACTGAATAAAATCATGAGGGAATTTAAAGAGGAATATGGAATTTTTCTGCTCGAGAGAAAGGTTCATGTTGCTCATTTGCAAGTCTCGATGTTGCTGTCGAGCCTTTGTTCCTGCGATATTCATGACGTGTTTTCTTTCGCGGGCATAGTATTAATGTAGGTATTATTTGACGTGACGTTGTTTCATCGCTTTGGTTATTTTGCAGCAGTCAGGAGGAGCGACGCAGTCCGTACTCAACGCCGGACTCAGCGGGATTGACGCCTACAGATTCAAACATTATTCACCATCACCAAGTTCCCCAGTCCCCAAATATGTTTGATGAGATGGGGCAAATTTGTTTGCCCAAAACTGGCATTCTATCAATGTATGACCCCCAACACCCTGGAACAAATCTCGGGCCCACAATGACCACCATGGACTCAAATTGCCACATACCCCCGGACTCCCAAACCAACCGCAACGTCATCCTGAATCAAGCTGAGTCAACGCTTCCTTCTGAAGTAACCAGTCCAGTTTCCTTGGCATCCAGCATTCCTGGGATGACTGACAATTATGCAACAATGCGTCCTCCAGCTGTAACTCGTGTTCCTGGGATATTCAACGGCTCTGAAGTACACGAAGTGGTGAGTGTCAATCAACTGGTCGCTTCCCTCCTTTCCGATGCATACTCATGGAATCAGACACTTGAGTTCTAATCAATGCGTTATTTTATTATGGATGTATGCAACGCGGTTATCCATTTTGACGTGCATTTCAGGCAGTGGGGCTCTTCGTGCATTAATGATTCTCTAATCTACTTGCCTCTTGCGTGTTCCATCGTAAAATAAATGCATGAGCCGCGGTTTCCCTCGTTCCTAAGTAATCACTGCCTTTATCCCTATTTCTATTCATGCATTCAGCATATTAACACAGGTTTTCAACTTGTGCTCCGCGGAGCACCATTCGTTTTGCCTTTGTTTCTCAGGGGCTCCACGGCAATAATATGAGAATAAAAGAAGCGGAAAGGAAATAAAATTAAATATCACGATGCTCAACAAATCCGCTACTGAGTGCTGCCCTTGATACAATGGGAGGGCTATTCTACTCATAAATGTCATTCCCTTCCTGGGCGCATGTAGGCTTTAAAAGGCTCCACCATGGAAATCGATTTTAACAAGGGCTCAGCGAGTCAAAAAGGTTCATAAACTCAGGCGTATTTATTGCTTTGCTTTCCTATGAATTCTGTTCAGTTTTCCGAGGTAGTGCAGCATCGTTTCGAAACAGGTTGGTGAAGTCGTTCGCTTCAAGTGGTAGAGCTGTTTTTCAATGTTTGAAGGTTAATTTGGGAATCCAGCGCCCGTCGAGTTCCAACGGTTGAAGCTATCGCTCAACGACGCTGTAAGCATCGCTGATCATTTCTTTCTTGAAGCATTTCCTTCTTGAAGGATTTGTGTTCCTACGCGTGATGAGGTCCTCGATAGTTTACAGACATTGCTTGGAGAAAAGTTTTTGAATGGCTTGAACAGGATTCGTGACGTTCGGCGCTGTCAATTAATTTAAGGCTGTAAACAACGGTTCTAGACTTTACTTTCAAAAAGCCTTGCTTCGGCTGGCCATCATCCGGATTGGATTCGGTTTTTGTTGTGCCGGCAGCTGACCCGTTGCACGACCTTTTTGATAGGGAACCATGATTGAAAGCTGCTTCATGATGCTCCTCCTCTTTCGGGAGAGTGGCGTGAGGGCTCGAATGCCTGGAATTCGAGCACATCACCAATTACGGCGTATATCCCCCTCTAACCTTCTCCCGATCAACCCCATACGGAAACAACGCTCAGAAAATAAAAGCCGATCATTACACGATAAAAACCATCATCAAGCCTCACCCGTGACAATCCTATAAATCTAGCGAGTGTTCAAAGAGTATAAATAATGACATGCGTGGAATAATGACGATGATAGTGAATAAAGGAAAGGAAGAACGCCAGGAAAGATCTGCTTGCTAGTATGGAAGATAAAAGCCCTGTAAACTTGTTTCCTATACTATTGTAATTGGGCAATCTGCTCTGAAAAAAAATTATCTAAAAAAAAAACATTTCTCTGCCCTTCATTTCCTGGAAACCTGCTCGAATCAAGATTGCTCCTGTTTCGTGAATAGAATTAAGTCGGCTTTCTCGATCCGGAATGTCGGCGATAACTTGAGGCATCCGCGTGTGTCTCAAGGAGGGCAAAAGTGTTCCTGTACACGTATTCCCCTCCTTGTCGACGGAAGTGCAGCTGTCGTGCTTCATCGTCCCTGTAAAGATGCCATTGAATTGTTTGGCGACTGCTCTTGCTCATAATCACCCCCCTCCCCCTCCGTTCAAGCTCAGTGCTTTACAGAATGCTTCATACAGCACTTGGGTTACTTCAAGCCGATGATGGTGGAAACCTGAATTCACCGGGCCTCGTTTTAGGTGCTTATGTCGGCGAAAGATGACGGAGTATTCTCAGTTACCCAGAATGGATTTTCGAAAGAGTTAGTCTGAAAACTCCTGCCGCTGGTGTCCCTATCCGTCGGAAATGCATGCGAGGAACTTTTTTTTTTTTTTTTTTTTCAGTAATTTTAAATCGAGTTACTCAAATTTCTTAGTTTGAATAAAAATTCTCCCAACCACGGTGGGATCATAACAAAATTTAAAGCAAGTCCGTGTTCATCTGGGAAAGATTTCCTCCAATCGTAATTCCAACGTTGGCAAAATCTTGCTCATTACTTCAGAGGAAATCACACTCAGCATCACTTACATGAAACTTGTCGAGATCAGAATAGGTTTTAATTGGAACGTGGACGTCGAATCCGAAACATATTGACTGAGGACACTCCTTTCTCATTCGGAACATGTTCATCTGAAAATCCATGGCAAATGATTGATAAACCCTTGTGCACATGCAAGTGCACGTACACAAAAGTGGATTACAGACTGCACTCTCGACTCTATCCGTGTATTTCAACATCGGTAGCAATCGGATATTTTTTTCAGAAATGACAGTACTGTATAATGCTCTGCCAAAATAACGTTGATCTTCACGAAGCTTTCTAACAATAAAAACCCAAATAATACTGACAGAACGTTCGCCATTAACCGGTATAGTTTTCTGACGATAAAATCTGAAGTCCAAGCATGGCGGTTGAAATTCTTACGTTAAGATCAGAATAATGCTGACGGTCCCATTGAATCGAAGTCACGTTTATATTGCTGTATTATTTTTTAATGTTGCTTATCGATCGACTCTTGATGGATTGTTTTTGTGGTTCGTCAAAAGCAGCGATTTTTTTGCGTGCAGCTGAGATGATTGAACTGGAGGGAAAATTTAGTTGAAGTTTTTGACCACTACAGTTTTTTCTGTCTTCTCGTTTGCGGAATGGCATGGGTCAAACATCGTCTGATGAATTAGAAGTCGCCCCGAAGTGCTTCCGTATTTCACACACATGCAGTATTTTCCAATTATGACCGCAGATATACTGTGACTGTATCTCTTTTTGGCGGAAATTCCTATTTTTTAAACACTCGAAGTTTTTCATGAGAGCATTACGGCAGTACAGTACTGTACTGAATTTCTCGTGATAAAAAATGGGGGAGAAGAATTATTATTTTTGGATATATTGTAGATGCATTTTTGAAGGCAGCTAAGACGGGGCAGTTGGATTAGAGCAGTGTTCCCCAACCTTTATGGGCCCGCGGACTGGCGAATTTTTATCCGTATATTTTTTGCGAACCGGCAAAAATTTTTCTCAGACCAGTTGAGAATTTTCAAATACCTGTATCGTCCTCCAACCAAAACTTGAATAACAAATTAAGTTGAGAAACAATAAAGCAGCTGTAATGGAATGTCTTCTAAATATAAGGCTGGACTTTGAAAAATGTTTCTCCGAATGAATACTCCATATAATTCATTTCATCTGGTGGAACTTTGTCCGAAGTGTTATTGGAAGGAAAGCAAGCCAGCTTTTATTTTTCAGCAGATAATTTCAATTGCCATTTTCTTCCGAAATTTTGGATAAAATTAACAGATTTCTTCAATACCTTTGGTGAATGTATTATGCCGAAGAAAATTTCCGGCGGACCGGCAATAAAAAAAATATAAAAAAAACTCCTGCAGACCACTGGGCTGCAGACCACTGGATTGGAGAGATCAGTAAAAATGTCTCGCCTTTCCAGCTATTCCTAGGTTTTTGAAAATATTCCTTTTTCATCTGAACAATCATGAATACCAAAAATTGCCCGTCTATTGAAAGTACGCGTCGGGGTTCAGTTTTCCCATTTTACGCCATAAATTCGCCCATTCCTTACGCATAGAAAATACCGAGAGCCGTTGTGAGTGCAGAAATGAATCGAGAAAGGAGTGTGTACATAAGAAATGCCCGTAGATGGAAAAGAGACTCGATTAAATCAGGATGGGAGCTCCTTTCTATTCATGACGAAAGTGCTGTGCTTCTATTTGATACAGTATAACGCATAGACCCTGCTTTGAAATCCCGTTTGATGCCTCGCGCACGCACCCGCCAGTATTTTTGGGCCTCGCCGGATTGATTTTGACTGTCGCTCTGAAGGTGACTCTCTTTCCCTCTCAGGCCGCAGCGGTGTCGACAGCACTCACGCCCGACTCCAACAACCTGGAAAGAGTGAACCAATCTTCGTATCAACTCTCCGGACAAGTGATGCATGGGATGCCGGACAAAGCCCACGTGATTTCAACGAACACCAGTCGCAAGCCGACTGCACGCACCTCGAAGAAGAAAAAGAAGAAAGATCCGCACGAGCCGCAAAAGTGAGTTTCTTCCTAGTCCTCTTCTGTATTCACGACCCAGAGGCTCGGGCTCCATGCAAATCCGAGTTTCCCGATGACCTGGAAGCTCTGTATGCAACTAGTTTTTGCCTCAAAAACCTTTCAAATCTATGCAATATTCTTGGGAGCGCGGCAAAATTTTGTAAGGCAAAACCATCTCGTTTTATATTATTTTTCTTCAGGTTATTTTAGCCTGAAAACCCCACCCAATTTTCTGTGATGTTAGCAACATGCATTTGGAGAATCTCAGAGAAACTGAGTTTATGCTGAAGCTAGAAATTTCCGCAATGTGTATGTATTGAGAAAAAAATGTTTTCAATCGAAAAAACCATTTAATTATGGTGCACCAAGACTCATTTAAATTTATTTGAGAATTTGGCAATGCTGAATACTTGCAAGCCTTATTTTACATGGTTGTTATCGGAATTCCGAGAGTTAATCAATTTTAACGCTCAATTCAATATCGGACATTGTTTTTCGAAGCTTCAATTGCCCGATTCGTTAATCTGACCGAAGCTAATTTAATCAGATGCCTGGTGAAACATGTATATTCCTGATGCAAGAATGTCTGAGCTGTTTAATTGTCATGCACTTTCTTGAGCAATCCGATGACATTTGTGATAACATTACTCGAATGAATGGCACTCAGTGCGATTCATCATGAATGATTGAAAAATTGAACTACTGTATTCCTACATGGCATAGGAAAAAAATCTAACGAACGAAGACTGGAGGAATGAAAAACAGACCCTTTGTTCAGCATCGGGCTTCACAAAAATGGCTTCTTTTGGGCACAATGAAATTTAGACAAAGGTTGAAGTGTATGTGTTGCCAGCTCAGTTCTCAGTGTATCTTGTTTGGTGAGAAGAGGTGTTTAAATAAAAGAAACCTTTTCCGAGAAAAAAAATTCTCGAGGGTTTTTTTTTCCTCAATAAACGTCTTGGCTGCGCATAACCTAACCGTGAAACCAAACCCACCGTGATTTACGAAGATCCGTCACTTTGACTTGGTTCAAGGAAAATTTCAGCGATTCGAACGAGACGTGGCAAAGGCACTATTTAATTTATTGCTCGCCGAAGAACAGAGGTTTGCGCTGGAATTCAGAAAAATATACGCTGCTATGTAAATGCCGTCAGCCGCGTTCCCACGTGAATCCGATGCCCGAGTTTAATTGGTCCGGGGAGCAATTACGTATCCCCAACTGCTGAGAACGCGAAACGTCGTATCTTCGACGAGCCGTATGCCTTGGTCAGAATTTGCATAAAAGGAATCTCCATTATACGCTGCTGAGCGAGGTACGAGAACGAGCAGGTATTTTTTTGGGAAATGTTTTGACGAAATATTCTGAGATAGTCTGAATGTACCATCTTTGCTGAATGATAGGCCGCGCTTTTTTTTGTGCCAAAAACTTATCTCGAAAGCGTTGGTACTCGAGGTATTTTTTCCATGAAATACTCACATGGATTGACTAAATATACTCAAGTTCCTCCTAGGCTTGAGATGATATCTTCGTTTTACAATTCCCGTCGTCTTGAATTTTCCGGTCGAATACAAATTTTCTCGTAGGTTGAACATAAAAAGCAATTGTCTGACAGCTGATTTTTATTCCCGAGTAACATACTGTAATCCGTTTTTGTCATACGCTACTGCTGCTGAATAATTCTCTGACTGCAATTCGTGTCTCAATTCGCTTCTCATTCCAAAATTGTCGAATCTGTAGAGGCTAAAATATGTTTTCTCTGAAATAACCGCTCTAAATAATCGGGGTTCGTCGAAAAGTGTACAAATAAATATCCAACTATTTTGAGGTAATTTGGAGCAAATTGAAAGTCATCACTCTTCAGCCACGATTGCTGTTGAAGTCTCTGGCATCTCAAAGTAAGAAGGCGTGATTTGTTTTGTGCATTACGAAGAAAATAAAATTTCTTGATGTACGATGAAATGCGTGAATAAGTTGAAACTAAACGTTCCATATTATTAGCATTAATTTCAGATTCAATGTAATTAAATAACGTAGGATACACGTGCATTTGTGCTTATGGGGAAGAAGGAAAGGTCAGGATTAGATCACGTTCAAGAATTCAATATTTGTAGCCGCGTTCCCGTTCCTGGTCAGTCGGGGAAGTTCAACAGCGTTCATGAACTAAATCTGTGTGCAAGCGTGTCTTATTTTTTTTCTTTTATAGCGGATAAGTATAATGTAATATCATCGCACTGTTCTCGAGACAGGGAATCTATGCGTTTTGTCTGTTTTTATAGTTACTTCGGAACACATACTGTACTATCTTCCGCTTTTTCCCTCCCCGGTCTTATTACTGAACTCCTGTCCCTCCCATGGTTGTCGAATCCGGTGGAGTTCGCTTTGCTCCAGTTCACTTCAGTTATTTTCATTCTCTTCTCATCATATCTAAGCTTGTGAGCACATAAGTTTCACATGTCAGGTTCTTACGAGAATATCTTGCGAAATAAATATCTGAGCTCTCATTATTTTCTGTCACTGGTGGAAGACTAATGGAAGCAAATCTTCTCATCTTGGTGGAATACTGTTGCGTAAAAATATTTTTCATTGCGCTCCTTAATTTCTGTAGGCTGTAGTCGTCCTGTTCTGCATTTCGAGTTTGATATACAGTATTAGTTTGGTTCTTGTGACCCCACCTGCCGTAAACCTAGCTCATGTCGATGAATATGACCGACGTTGTGCTTAAATTTCATTCAAATCTTCAGGATTTCGATGTTCGACCATGTCGATTCAATGCGATTGGAACGTCCGAAAAAAAACGCGTACGAAGATTTCGAGGAAACTTGCCATAATCAATCATTTATTATCCGCACTTTTTTCCCCTTAACCAATTGAGCGAATATCTTGAATGCAGCCTATATATGAGATGCGAGCATCCGAGGATGGACTACAGTTGTAAGAACATCCAACCTTTACTTGAGATTCCATACTGTGCATGAATGTGGCGGAAATCAGGCGTGCAAAAATTTTGAGATTCACTCAAGTGATTAATTGTTTTAATCTGCTTGATGTTAACCCCCACCCCCATCAGCAAAGTATTTTATCAATTTTTGACCATAACCAAGTAATCTTGAAACCACGTGAATTGCAATCACGATTAAGGCATATGCCAATACTGTACTTCAATTGTTTGTGCATGCGTAGGCCGCATTTTCCCTCCTGAATTTCCAATTTTCTTCTGGTTCTGGCATTTTTGCCTGAAATAGCTACCGAGAATCAGGGCGCGGCCTATGATCTCCCGCGGCCTATAATCGCGTAGACATGGCTTGTCATATTTGACTCATGTCCAACGCTGCTAGAGTTTTCGAGACCTCTGCAAGGTTTTTCTCGGCGCATTCATCGTCGTCATTCAGTCATTTGGTATCTCATTATTTTTAAGGACACTGGCATGATGAGATATGTTTTCTCTCATCCTTTGTGCGGAATGAGGTCAGAGACTTGTCGGACAATGTGTTCTTTTATTCCGCAGCTGAAGAGGTTCTCGGGGAGAGGCCTTTTTCTTCTATTAAAACATGGTTGGAAGCACTTCAGAATCATCTACAAAGGCTGGTCTCAAAGCGCTTTTTTGTTACATGATTCTATTCACACACGTCCCGATAAAGCTTCTTCGTGAAGCATCAATTTTTTCTATGATTAATGCGTACCTCTGCATTCATGTTGCCTTAACACAGGGTACAGCAAAATAGCCCCCGTGATTTAAAAAGTAAGCGGATGTGAGAAACGTGTCTTGCGAAACCCTTCACGTAATCCTATTCCACGCTTGGTTTCATGAACGATGTCAAGCCAGGGTTCTTCATTCATGACGTAAATATTTAGGGAAGTTTTGAGAGCTTATATGATTAATTTTTCTAATGTTGCTACATTTCTCCCGATTCTTTTCCCGTGATCGATGCCCTGTCAGAGGAAACTTGTGAAATATTCCTATGACGACGAACTAACCATAATTTTTTACGCTGCCGCACCGTGAAAACATTGAGTGGAAATATTTCCCGCTTGACTGGACTCCCTAGCGTCGAAATGAGCCCTTTGTTCGGTAGTTTTTGTTCTGTTCGTGTTTCGATCGCAATTGCTGGAAATTTGTTTGTAACAAGGAAGCCATGGATTCATTAGTTGACTTCTGTCGCGGGAGGGATTGGGTGAAATAAAAGGCGAGGAGAAGTTGGAAAGACCGAATGCACTTTCAAGGAGTTAGAGGCTCGTGAACATGGGGGTTTACGACGGAAATAAGCTTTAAAGGGGTGAATATTTTTCTTCGGAAATACTCGAAATGTTCCGGCATAGAATTTATACACGGTCGCGAAGTAGACGTCGTTGTCGTGGAAACGTTATCTCGTGTCTCGCTGCTCTAGAGTCTGGCGCAGCGCACAGCGAATGTCCTCCATCAAATTGAAAAGCGCCCGTTTCAAAATTGCTTTATGAAAAACCGAGCGAATGAGAAAACGGGCGCGGGATATTCCGGGATCCTTGCTCAAAACATGACGAGAGCTTGATTCACGTTACGAATAGATATTTGCGCGTGATAGTATTTTGACAGGTGTTACTTTGTTTTCCAGGCCGGTGTCTGCTTATGCGCTTTTCTTCCGTGACACACAAGCGTCAATCAAAGTTCAGAAACCCAACGCCTCCTTCGGCGAGGTCTCAAAAATCGTCGCTTCCATGTGGGACACTCTCAACCAGGACAGAAAAAACGTAAGTATTCTCCCTTCTTGTTTACATTTCCCATGATCCATCTTGGGCGTTGTACGCCCGTCTGTTCGCCAGTTAATATTTGATATGAATCAATGTCGTATTTACTCGAATATAAGACTCACTTTTTTTCATCAGAAATGACTCTTTAAAAATTCAGGGGGCGTCCTACCATTGATGGCCTCGTAGATTAGCATGTACAGTGATTACTTCCGACGAGCTCAAACTTTCGAATGAAAATGCGTTATTAAATCTGATTTAACAAAGCCTAGCTGCAATATTGTCATTTGACGACAAAAGGAAACATGCTGAATGTCCTGTAGCACCAACAATGTGATTATGATTGAATCACGAAACCTGCTAACCAAGGAATGAATATTTTAAGTTGTACTTCGAAGTGTACGATATTCTTGATTATACCATCAAGGAGTGACAGATTTAATGAAAATATTTGTAATGGCCCTCATGCTCATTTAGTAGTCTAAAATGATTAGCTATCGGGAAACTCTTCTGATACAGGTGACAGTGATTAAGAATGCATCCTAGATTTTCAAGTAAATGTGCATTCAATTTCGAGGAACAAAAATTGACGGTGCGTCTCATAATCCGGGGCTCCTTACATTCGAGTGAAACCGGCTTGTCGCATAGCTTTTTCGAATATTAATCCCTTCGGTCCCGCTGAAAATTGATTAAGTGCAGCAAAACTAATTTCCTCCCTGGAAATCCGTTTGAAGGAATACAAGAAGCAGACCGAGGTCGCCAAGAAAGAATACCTCAAGCTCCTGGCTGACTACAAGGCAAGCCATGTCTCTCGGGTGAGTGTCCTTGTAAGAGGGAAAGAACCCCGCAATAGATTTTTTTCCTGACACCTGGTGACAAACGGGCTGGGAAAGAATTGCTTCATGGCGCGTTGCGAGTCTTAGTAGTGTGATCAAGTACCTGTGCGATATGACAACCTTGCCCGATGGTCTTTGTTGCCTGTGCATAATATTTTCTCCCGCGTATTTCTTTCTCTTTGGAAAGATGTAAACTTCTTGAACGAGCTCGAAGTGTGTCGTAAATATTTAAGAGCTTGACAAGCACTGCATTGATGTTTTCTGGACGATAACTTCGTGAAAATCGAAGCAAACGAACTGCGCAGTTCTTATGAGCGAAACAGGCCAAAATTGTCGACGTTTCTATGGGAAAACGTTTTTGATGATCCTCGCTTGATAACGGTACATTAAATGCGTCTTGAACTCCGTACGGAAGTCTTTGCACCCGGAAAGTCGAGCTTAGGTTCAAGAATTATAAATACCGTCGGATTAAGCGGAAATTGCGTCAGCGTTGCATTTCCCATTTGGCGACGGGTCGCGAATGATGCAACGGATATCGTTGCTCCGCGTGTTTAATTACTTTCGAATTACTTGAAAAAGGCGACCAGCATGCCGGAAGCCACACTTTAATGTTAAAAATTGAACTGAGTTGCAAAGAAAGAGTACAGTACTGTGATATTATTTAAGGTAATAAATTGGGATCACTTTCTGCTTTCTATCTTGACTCTTTCCCATTCTTCACTGCTTCAAACAAGTTCTTGTAAAAGTTGGCGAAAGTCAAGTGTTTGCCTGCAACTACTTTGACTCCCTTTATTTGCATTTTTTTTTAGTGCAAAATAACCTCAAATAATCTAGCCAGAGACTCTTCCACATATTGCAAAATTTATCAGAAGTAAACTTCATCAACATTTTCATTCGCTTGATTTTTGGTCAGCTCTGTGCTGACCAAGTTGAGTTAATTTGAAGTTGAGTTAATTTTCGCAAGCATGAAGCGTCCGAAAATGTTCACGGAGTCTACAGCAGAAGAACGGTTTCTGCAACTCATCCGTGTACCAACCAAGACCAGATCCGCCTAACTGCATTAAGGAACAAAGAATGATCATGTTGTGCAGACCATTTATTTCGTCGTTGAATATTCCTTCGCTTTTCAAACTCGGCTTCAGCTCGGAAGCTATAAATGGAGGAATATTTGAAGCTTATTTTTTTCAAATAGGGGAGTAACCCCAGTTCTGAAAGTAATTGTGAAAAGATAAAATTCCCTGTTGTATCTTTAAAACTATTCGCTGAAGCGAGAGAAATCATACATTCACCCTTAATATATTGAGGAAATGCATAAAAGGGGTCAAAATCATATCAAATCAACATCCGCTTAAGGAAATATGGATCGCCTGTCGGCATTTTTCTTTACTACAGTATCTCGTTTTCCCAAAATGAAGACTGAGATTACGTTTAAATTATTGATTTACCCCAAAGTTTTTCACATCGCAGTGTAACTTCAAGGAATGTTTCCCTGGTGGAATAGTAAAATTAGGTCCGATTTTGGAATCGGGAAGTTGAAAAACGGATTGTTCAAGAAGTGAATGAAGACTAAATAAAGGGCATTCATCCCTCACATTTGGACATTTATCCCTCAATTCCTGTCAGGATTTTTCAAGTGTTTAATTCAAACAAATTTAGATTGCGTCGGAATACTTTGCTGTCTTTGTTAATTGGGCTGGGTTTATAAGATGTGTCGTAAAATTGCTAGAGCTTCTTTCATGGATGCTGTAGGTCCTATTTTCGGGGAAATATTGTAGAACTGGTTCGTTGGTTATAACTGTATTTATTTGATTTTTGTGATAGAAAGGTTAGATTATATCTTGGAATACAGTACGATTGTACGATGAAGCAGTCGAATTCCTCCGTGGGGGTTAACGTGACGCTTAGGACCGATGATCCATTTCCAATAATTGATACTGTACCAGTTTTTCGCACACGCTTGACCGCGCTAAATTTGTGAAATTCTCTTCTAGACCGCGCAAGGGAAGAACTCGCGCGAGCCGCATTTCCACCCGGGGGACGAGTACGGGCATTATCACGTGGATGAAGTGAGCCGGCGAAACAACTCGCCGCGTCCCAACGCGATCATGAATGAGAGCATGTACAACGCGATGCAGCAGCACCGCATTCCTGCTTCCATGCCGAAGAGCAAGGCCCAGCTGTTTTCCCCTCCGATGATGAACCCGGACAGCCAGGGCGTCGTGCCCCAAGGACCGCGAAGTGACGTCACCGGGGTCTCGCTGCCACATCACAGCCCCCTGCAGGTGAGGAAAAGCGCCACGGTGACGTCTTATTCCGGGGATTCCCGCAGTTCTTTCACGCTCACGCTTTCGACCACTTGCTTCCCTGCTGCTGCGTAAGCCGGCTAATGCGGTTTACGCAGCTCAGATTTGTTTCTCTGTTTATCCTCGTTTCTGCGCCAGTAACGGATTTTCTTGAAGAATGAATCCAACAACTTTATTTTCTCTCCCACTCTTCCCGATTCCCTTTGAATCGCGTGTATTGTACCAGAGAAACTCAAAATGCGTTTAGTATTATTAAGGCCTCTTGTATTTCCGCGAATGACCTTTAGCCTGTGTCCGTAAAATCAAAGGCTGAACCACGGATAACACAGAACAGTAATTTAATGGAAATACCGTGTGCTTGAAAAAAATTCAACGATTTCGACATTCCCGACGTAGAGATCTTGACGAGCAGCACACCTGATCCAGTAACGTATTTTATTGAAGAATTAATCCGAAAATTTATGTTCTCTCAATTGATATGACCGGAGGACCTCAATTATTCGGGGAAATAACCGGTATACTGTAGTTTTTTTTACCACTACTGTACACTGGAATCAAGTAGGGAAGCACTGAAAAAAATTGAAGAATCTTGTGCTTTAGGAAAAATAAGTACAAAATCTCTTGACGTGAAAGGACGGAAATTTTCGAAAATCTTGAAGAGCCACTCATCACCAAGATATCATTCTGATGATTTTTGTCTATAAGTCAATCATCTTGATGGTTTTTCCCGTATGTATTTTTTTTTATCTCCGAAATTGGAAGCTAACTTTAATTTTGCATCAATTTACGCTAGAACTTCGGGTCGAGCTGAGTGAAATAGAGAAGCTTGGTTTATTCGAACTTATTGAGCCGGGTTGTATCCTCTGATCCATCCGAAACTCCGGCATGGTTAAGCCGAGTCCAGATTCTGTTCTACTACACTTTGAACTGGATTCAGGAATCGTTTCCAGATTTTCACGGTCTTCGTTGTTTCTCGGCTAGCAATGGATTTTTTCACGTTGAAAATTTTATCTTCGAATTAACTACGCTTGTCAGTGATAATTCACATTCAAATTATTCCGAACTCCAATCAGAAATCCTTTTGAGAGTGTCAAGAACGCATGCAGTCCTGGGTTGAACAAAGCATGAAACTCCCAACTTCGTAGTACAGTATATGAAAAGGCTTCGCCAGGTCCTCTGCTGGTAAAGGCTAATAAATAATTTCTTATTATCGAGCATACTATTTGCTTAGCGAGTGCAATAACTCGTACGTATCTCCGGAATGTTCTTCGTCACTGAGCTCGTTATCTTTTGTCGACCGGAGGATGTCATTAAAACTTCATGGACGACTTTCTCAATGTACTCACGAAAGTCCATTTAAATCCGAGCTGCAACAAGGATTTAATATTTTACGACTCCCCACGAAACTTGACAGAATGAATTCCGATTACTGTCAAGGAAATATCTCAGCTTTTTGCTCATTAATTTTTTGGAGTGGAAAAAAATCGCGTGAAAAATCTTACTGTTGGCCCTGGAGTTGAAAAAGTGACTGATTCTTCGTTTAGAAGAACAGCTTCTTGACGTAACTTCTGGCCCATTGAACACTCTGAAATTCAAGTAAAAACAACAGATGAAGGGAAGCCCTCCTGCTAAACTTAAAAAAAAACTCTTAAGAATGGTTTTTATGTCTTGGACTCCTGGTGAGCTAGTTTTGCTGTAATCTTTGCGACAACTTGGGCTTGTACAAACATCTTGGGATGAAACTTGTTCCCCGTGATAAATAACAAACTGCATGTTCCTATGATTTAACATTACTTCCCCGGATTTTGTCGTGAATTTAGACGCGATCTGAAGGTTTGCCGTGAGGTTCGTCCAGTTTGGTGAACAAAAGTTTGAGTTGATGGATAAGTACCGCATTTTCCCGAAAATAATCCGTAGTACAGTACTTGAATGACTCTTCTTCAACGTACCGCCTTACCGAAAACAGGGGTTTATTTTTAGAATGAGTCTAACGGTATAGACCATGCAGTAATCTCCCCGAGGTTTCCAACCTCCTTCAAGTGCATGAAAAAATTAATTCACTTAGCCCTATTTCTGTTCCTGGACTTCGTTTATAATTTATCTGCATTCATTAGGACTAAGTTTTTTGAAGAATAATGCAGTACTTTCTCATTGAGTGCCTTTTTTTAAAACTTGTTTTACCGATACACTACCATTTCCCGCTTTGTAAACAAAAGAAACAGTACTTCCCGACCCCGAAAACGTTGAACACGCATTCCAGTGGTACGTAGTTCTAGGATTTTTCGGGGCACTCCATCCGCACGAACGGCATGTTACAAAACGGAATTTTTGCATCATATGGCACCAAATTGACTGTTTATGACTGCGGAATTTTTGTCAGCTGATCTTCATATAATGTCACTGTAGAGTAGAATGCACTTTTCTTTTCATCAGTCTTGCGCCTCTGAATTGCCTGGAGGGCCATCATTAACCAGTCATCAACCTACTTAATCGAGCTTGTCGCAGTACTCTCTTTAAATTAATTTGTAATAAACCCAGTGCGGTGGTTAAAACGAAGGCTATGGTTTTAAAACGAGTAATCTTTAAATTTTTCAGTATGGACAAGCGATGCATCAGCAGCTCGATCGCGGCCTTGGAAACGGCGACCAGCACAGAATGAACGAATCGATGCGGTGCTCCTATTCCTCGCAGCTGGGCGACGGGGTGTCGCATCAGCTGTCGGGCCCACCCCAGCACCACTACATTCACGAAAACCCTGCCGTGTCGCTAAATACGAGCAGCGCGGGGATGTATCCGCCTGCTATGAGCGTGCAGAGCATGAGCAGCGCCCGACACATGATGTACCACATGCACCACAGCCCTACACCCTCGCAACACTGCCACATGGGCGCTCGTCCACCGCAGATGATGATGGGCAATCCAATGCACGGCCAGCCAGACCAACAACAACAACAACAACAACAACAACAACAACAACAACAACAACAACAACAACAACAACAACAGCAGCAACAGCAACAACAGCAGCAACAACAACAACAACAACAGCAACAACAGCAACAACAGCAACAACAACAACAGCAGCAGCAACAACAACAACAACAGCAACAGCATCACCACCACTATCCACAGTCTCCATACAACGAGTACATGCACTCATCGGGAGACATGATGAGTCAGCAGTTGTCCTCGCTCAGGAGCCACCCGCCCAATGGGGCCGGCTCGTTGCTCATGAACGGCAACGATGGATCGGGCGGCGAAGTGATGTACATGCAAATGCACACCCAGGTGGGCCTCAGCTCGCCCAACGATCACATGCTTGGTCGGCTGCCGTCGCCGCGCGTGAGTGACGGCAGGAGCTACCTCCCAAATGGATCTCCGCTGCCATACCAGCAGGGCTACAGCCCCACGCTCTACGGGCACATGCAGCAGTACAACCACAACCCTGATGCCAACAGTGCCAACGGGAGTCAGTCGGGAGGAGCAGAGGGCAGTGGTTACCAGCATCCAGCTCGGATGATGCAGTCCTTTTTACCCGAGACCGACAGTCTGCTCGATGTGGCCAGTGGCGGCATGGCCGGCAAGGAATGCTCGTCACAGATCCACGGTTCCATCCCAGTGTTGCAGGGGCATCTTATGCAGAAACCCCCCGGGTGGGGCATGGATCAGGGGCGAACAATCGCGGACCTGGATTCCCGTAAAGTGAGTCACGAGCGCGAGCTTGATAGGTACGCTTATTCACATGCCTACTCCAGCCCGGGAACGGACTCTAGTTTGAGCTGTCCAAAGTCCGAGGAAGACAAGGTGGAGGCATCAAGCTCGATATCCAGGTTCTTCGAGGGGTTCTCTCCGTCGCTCGTTTGTAACCAGCCGAATCCCACCTGGATTGGGGACATTTCAGCGCCCAACAGTTAATTTTTTCATGATCGTTACAATTGTTTGCTGGAAAGCCGTTTTGTTTGTTTATTTTTTTGGCAGTGTTTCATTGTTTCATGTGATCAAAATGTTGACTATGGTCAGAAGTTTATTCACAAAGCCCCGCAAAGCTGTTCAGTGTTCCCGCAAGTGGGACAGCGTTGATATATGGAACTTGTCAGTATGGGTGGGTCATAGGGCGGATAAAAGGTTTGGAACGTTGCTCGTGCTGGTCCTCCATGGAGACGCACGCTCTCGAGGGAAGGTATGGAGTGCCAATATTCATTGTCGTTTCTCCGAGACCGGCAAATATTTTTTTTAGTCCTTGATCAATTCTGCCTCGCACTCTTCCTTGGACCCTTTCCAAAACAGCCACCTAACGCTCTCCCCCTGCAACTTGTTTGGCGGAAAGTCTTGTTTCATTACAGTTCCAGTTCCCATGCCCAGGTTGACGTCAAGTGTGGTCCACCTAGGGCAAGTATAATTTATTAAGTGCCACGGAAGTGCGCGTGTGTTCAGGATGCTTGCAGCTGCCAGTCATATGCTCTGCTCGGGAATCTGCTGCGCCCCGCTGAACCCGGTTTCTGTTGGTATTGTAGAACTCGTCAAGCTTGTGGGTGGAAAATTTATACGGGTTATGATACCAAATATTCTGCTCCTGGGATTTCGAACTCTCAACTCACGCATGACGGTCGTCTAGTCCGCATCCGGAATGAGCAAGTTTTAATTGACATAACTTGGTGTGACAACTTTTTCTTTGGAGCAAATTGCCTACTGTCCTGTGCCGCAGACGGCCAGGGTGAAGGCGCAAATCCCCCCTCCCTAGGATGTTGGCTTCTTTTGACTGTGAGTTTGTTCCCCATGTGGATGCGTGTGGGACCACGGCTTAGCTTACTAGTTTTTTGGAACATTGATGTTTTTATCCATGCGTATTTTCAGCAGAGTTAAAATTCAGCATTCTGGGAATGGCCGGCACTGTTCGTTCACTGGGGGCCAGATGATTCAGCAGGTCGACGTCGTGTTCTTGGTTGTGAGGCTTCTCCCCATTCCCGAAGTAACAGTCCTTTCCGGCTGCACCCAGCTTGACTTTTTGGCAGCTTGTTGCAGCAAAAAAACAGAAAAAAATAAAAAAACGAGCGTGATGGAAGAGCTATGAAGAGATTTTCTTGTGTTCCTCCTGGTGTCGCACAAGCCATGCGTGCTTTGTTGAATATACCGCAAGTGACTGTTCTGTGTCCAATGCTGCTGATGAAAAGGAAGAAAGAAAAAACGATTGTTTAAAACTCGGATCTCGTCTAATCTTGAGCGCAAAAGCCAGCCGATTAGCTCAAACACTTTGTCAAGTTTGGCGGCGGTTCCTTGTTTTTTTTTTGTTCATGAAGAATGAGGCTTATTGTCCGGGTAATGTAGTGGCTTCCCTGTCGCTGAAATTTGGAATTCCATGAATTATGTGTATATCTCTTGAGTTGAAACAATTGATCACTGGTCCAAGGAAGGTGAAACTTCCTTTCCTGGCTCACCCTACCTCGTTCTCGGAGAAAATCGCGTCCGAACACTGAAAGTTTTGGATCAGGTTTGTTCCCCGCGTTCCCACGCTTAGAGCCCCATTGTTTTATTTTCCTTTTGGTGCAATGATGATGCAGAACTCAATCTGCATCCATGCATGCTTTCTGTCGCTGGAGTACTTCCCAGGGAAACCCCGTTGGATGTTCTGCAAGTTTTTATTTTCATCACATGTGTTTGATTTTGATGGTGATGCACTTTTCTATGTCATCAGAAAGGATGTTTAGACTCTTTAGAGGATGAAATGTTAGTCAAAGACTCCATGGATTATTATGACTCATCTTGATGAGTGCTGGAATGTTGACGGAAAATATAATTTAATTGAAGTTTCTTGAAATGAGGTGACGATTCTTTGGTAAATACTTCTTTCATTTTTCGTGAATCCATCATCATGAGCTATGATGATCAACAGCGTCGCAATGATGGTCTGCCTACAGCATAACGGTTCACGTGAGATGTGACACAATTTCATCAAGGCTTGCAATATAGGCATTGGAAGAAACATCAACTAAATTTCAACCCGAAAAAAGACAATCCGCCAGATTCAGTGAATCAAGACAAACAGACATTCGTGATGATCGACTGTAGCTCGTCGCAAATGATTTCCATGTCCAGAAGAATTCATTTAGGTAAGTTGCAGCGGACCACTGGTAGATCTAGGCTTTCATCCGGATCATTTTCATCGTATCCCGAGACCCGCAAAATGAGGTGTTTCGTGTGAGGGAGCGGTTTCTTCGTGACTGTCGTGATGGCTTCTGATATTCTGAGAATGAAATGACAGTTTGGCGACGGGTCAGAATAAATGGCATCACAATCACACGCGGCAAAGCACAAAACAACAAGCTGACATCAACATTGGAAACGTGAGAGTTATTACAGTATTAGCACATTTACAAACTATGACTCAGTCTACGCAAATTCTCATTTCTATCAATTTTAAATTCCGGTTTGGCAAAGCCAGCGATCTTTTTATGATTTTTTTAAATGCCCGAAAGAGTTGGTTGATTGGATGTCTCAATGACTTTGAATACTGTAACACGGTTTCTCGGCGGGGAAAAAATGTCGTTCCGTTTGCAACGTACAGTAGCATCTGTAAATATTGCTAACTTCAGTAACACCTCAACCTGGTATGATTCCACAAATTACGAATTACAGCCATGTTGAAAATAGAGCACTACTGACTGCCAGAAACTTCTATGGATACACAAGCTCCTGATGGGTGAGCCACATTTCTGCGAACTACAATATTTTAAAATCTCAAAATGATTCATCCTTCGCTTTGCATATAAGAATATTTTTCGACTGCCAACCTGACATGATCTGTTTTCTCACTGATACACCCGTTAGAGATTGCAGAACATATGCAGTAGTGAGCAAACATGTATCTATAATGCATCCTTATTTGTAATGCAGACAATACTTTACCCCCACTTTCTTACCCCCAGATACTTTAGTGGAGTAAACATTTCCAAAAACAAAATGTGTTCACACTTGCGCTAGGTTCCAGACGATACATTACTTATGAGAATATTTTTCAATCATATTTTAAATGTGGTACACATTAACATCCAGCGTTTAGACCACCTGCCACTGGATGACACCTACAGAAGTGGCAGGTGTACAATGTTTCCATGAGATTGATGGGGTTGGATTTCAACTACAGTATCTGCCTTCTATATATTTCTTTCTGAGTTGGAAAAATGTTGAACAGAGCTCAGGAAACCATCAAATAACTGTCAGATTTTTTGCATCCCAAAAATAAGAAGCTCAGGACTGGTGACACTTCTGAATGTACACCTTTGAATGAAATAAGAGAAAGTCCTCAAAAGGCATGATTATGAGCATTCTTTTTTGTCAAGAAAAAAATAATGGAAGGCAAAACCGTACCTCATAGCCTTCCTTTGCTCCAGTTTATCCGTCGCAAAGAATTCGGCGTACAAAATAGCTGTTTCGTAATTAATGAAGTCCAACACGACGCCATACTTGTCTTTGACATGCTGAATGAGCTGATCGATCGTAACATCTCCGTCAATATCGATCATGCTCCAGGCGTCCCATTCATGTTCTTTGAACTGCAGACAATTCAATCATCAACCTGGTGGATTGTCGAAAGTGACCCCGTTTACCTTCATTTTTCTTGGTTCAACAGGCTCGGTAAACCCAAAGAAGGGCGTTGCTAGGTTCACGTAGGCATTCTTGAATTTTTCAGCTGATTGATGCCCTTGCACCAGTTTAATCAGCTCGAGGCTCACCAGGCCAGCGACCAAAGATGTCGTCGTCGCAATTGCGGGAATGATGCGGCCAGCGATCAGTTTGCTCTGCGGCCGAGGTAACAGTGCATATCAGAAGATATAGCCGGTTTGGAGAAAATGACACAGAGAGAGGAAACGTCGGAAAAGGCGTGATTCTTTTTCTTCACGTTACGGTTTTGCTCAAAAATTTAATGGAGGGGATAGTTGCGGCTGCCTTTCTATGTTTCAGCTCTTGATTTTCTAGGTGGTGTACAATACTTCATTTCATTTCTGGTGATTAACATTTTAATGGAGTTTTTAACTTACGACATTTTTTTCAGACAGATTTTTTTTCACCATTAATGTTTAACTGGGAGGTTATCTTAATTATAATTTTTTCTCAAGGACGTTTTCTACCCCATCATTTTCTACAAGAAAACAAACAACTACAAGAAAATCTACAAAAAAACTAACTCCCGTTATTTTGGCCAAGCCCACATTTTCTCTATATAAAGGCTTTTTCTTATGGCACCAAGGTAACAAAGAAAAATACTTGAAGACTAATTGAATTCCAGTGTGGGTGTTACCTTCAGTTTGTCTACCGGTTCGATGCTGTAACAGGCGGCGCGAAGATTTGAAGCACTTGTGATGAAGTCCAAGTGCAAATTGCTGTCGTCATCTTTCTCGAAATTTATCGGGCGGATAATGGTAGAGGAAAGTGGCTGAGGGTCTGGTAATTCAGCCATGAGTTGGTCTAGTTCTTCTGTAAAAAATCCCAAAACAGTAAACTGTCTTCCAGATTCGTTTCTCGAAATCGTAGCGTAAGAAACCTTTGGATGAAACCGGGACATCGTCGATTTCATCATCATTTGCCGGAATCTTCACATTCCCGGGAACGAACTCCGAAACTTCTATCATTGAAACGGCATCGGCAATCGCTGCTAGGGATCGATTTTGTGGCATTCCGTACATCTCTGCTCTCAAATTAGCGGCAGCAAAAACGAATTCTAGATGCATCGGCTTTGAAAAAAGAAAAAAAAGGGCAAGCACAAAAGAGCAAAGAAAATGCCATACATCAAAATAAAAGTTTTGGTTTTGAATGGCCACGAAGAGCGTGTAACTTACAATAATAATAAAATATTTTATTATTGATATTTTGTTTTTGTGAACAGGGAAGGGAAGAAAGTGTACCTATTTATATCAATTGTGCAGTTTCACTATTTGGGATGTATTTTCTTTTCTTTTAATATCCGTGTACAGCTTGTTTTTCTATTTTCCATTCTGATGTGAAGAATGTGTTTGGATGAATGTGGGTGGGGAGGGGAGGGGGCCTGGATGTGGGAACAATTTTTGAATCTTGTGAACGCTGAAAAGCAGAAAATAAAGCTTGCTGTTCAATTCAATTAAACGTTGGGTGCATACCAAAGCAGTGCTAATCAAAAATCGCAAAATACAATAACCTCAATAATCTATAGACTTGGATCAATCGTGTCCACATTTCAGAGAAAGCAGAGCAGAAAGTGTACTTTTGAAATGAACTGCTTTATTTTCAATCCGTCAGTCTGCATTGTACATGAGGCTTTACTACTAATAGTTGGACTCGCTTAAAAAATTGCCATAATTTCTTCATGAACCGGCGGACTTTTTTTGTGGATCCACCCATATTCTTGACATTAGTTGCAGCAGGAGGTTATCTTACAGACACTGAACTGGTTCATAGAAGAATGCTTAATATTTTTTCACGTTAAAAAAATGATTGTATGAAAATTGAATGAACCTTTGCAGGGACTCTTTATGTACAAAAACAAAATGTTTATCCCATACTTCCAACTAAAAAATTTGAAAGAATTGAATCAGAAAATTTGTCATGCACCGGTAGGAATTTTTTTTTCCGCAATAGGCATCTGCACAAACGTTTTTGTGCGCAGGCATTTTTCAGCACTTTCCAAGTAACATAACTACCCCCTTCCCTAAGCCCTTTCTACATAAAGAAATTTTCCCTCGGCCCCGAAAAAATTTCTGCAGACCATGGGTTGCAGAAAACTGGTACCCCAAGTGCAGTAAACTCCCTTCCCTCCCCCGCCCAAAAAACTGCCCCTTCGCCATTCATCAAGGCATACCATCACCACCCCTGCGCCATCACAGATAGTTCGCAGTATTCTGTATATTAAGCTCGAAACCCCATTTGCATTGGCTCTCCAGTGATTGAAACAGTTCTTGATAACCATAAGCTATATTTCTTCATGATTTGCTCGATGCGGGCTGAGAGGATAGGAAAATGGAGTGGTATGCACTTACATCGTGAACATCGAATTCCAGCGGTTTGGGGCATCTCTTCGGAGGGATCCAGAAAGGTCGTCCGGCTTTTTCTTCGTCTGGAGGGAAACTGTGCAGTATCTGCAAGACATCGTTTCTGAAGAGAGTCTCCCATTCCATTCGAGCCCATCTCAAACAGTCCTCAAATGTCCGGGGCAATTCTTCTCCCAGAAACCTTTTCACGGCGACGACGTTCTCTCCCTGGAAAGTTCAATCAGCTCGATAGCATTATGAAATACCGTGGCAGTTTCAAAAGAGATGAGGCGAAAAAATGAAATATATGCCAGCGGGAAAACTCACTTTGTCTTTTGACAGGGCATTTTCCTTGAATCCCTCTGGGTCCTTCAGGTAACTCAAGGAAATCTCGGCGGAGTTCGTGAAGCAGTCCTCGAATAAATCCCGCGCCCATTGAAGCGTGTGCTCTATCCGATGAGGGAAATGCTGCGAAAAAAAGTAGATTGGACGCTTTGTCATGGTAATGTGGCTCTGATTACTTCACCGACCTTAACTGTGCACATCGGGAACTCTTTTTCCGGGGGATCACTGGAAGCTGAGTACATCTCGCTGATATGGGGTATCACGACTTGAACACTTCCCTTTGCTCCCATCGTGCCCGAATCCAAGAGTGGCTTCGAATATATGAAAGCCATCTCATCCATATACGCTCCTGAAGAAAAATACGATCCCTTATTTCTATAAAAACTCTCCCGTGATTCATCTTCAGTGCCCCACTTCATTATCCGTCACCCTTCAGAATCGTTCTAAACAACCGCGCTGGCAAAATATGAGCTGAGCCTAGATATTGTACAGGATCTCTTCAAGTCAAAAACATCCCCAACTAAAATATCCAGTGAATCCCTGGTCGACCCCCGTAATGATGTGCATTTGAAACCGTCATAACTCATTACTGTTTGCTTCTTAACTGTTAATATCCTGGTCACATTTTCCATTGCCCTTGTGCTGGGCGAAATTTTAGAACAGCTGATCCTGAACATAAGCATTTTTCATTATTTTTAAAATGCTTTCCACAAAAAATTAACAACTTCCTGCAGGTAGAAAACCTACTAGTGATAAATTGCTTTAATAACTGCACTTTAAACAATTTTCTTTGATCCACTAGCACAAATCAGGCCTCATTTTCCAACTCCAAATTCTTGGAATTCCCAGACATTTTAATTGGAGGTTAAACTACAAATAATTATATCTTTAACAATTTCACTCAAAAAACTAAATTATAAAAACTTAAACAAAAATACGATGGTTTTTTTTTGGAAATCTGTGTCTGTCTCGAACTTCGATCACTTGTGGGAGTCTTGTCGGATGAACGGAGATGCATACACTTCTCCGATTATTACCGTCCTGTACTTCCTCATTTCCTGATCCCAGGTTGGCTCGCGTGGGTTCTAGTGGAATGTAGACAATTTAAAGTACTGTATATCCCCCATCACACTGCGTAAATCAGGTTCCCCCTTAAACTTCGACGTGTTCTTTGAACTTGCAGGTAGTCTAGCATTCGGTACGTCTTTTCAACGTGTGATTTGACACCTGCGTCCCAATGAAAAACTATCCAAGAAAATTTGCATGCTATCAAGTGCTGTACGGGAAGTTTTCTCTGAAGTTCCAACAGGTATATAAGCATGGATTTGCCCGATACAGAACTGCGATTGCAGAAAACCATCAGCAGATGCACACACGGACTCGCTTCCAGTCTTGTTTTGATCGCAGACGGTTTAAGTGATTTTTATCTATAATTCGGAAACTTCGGCACCCGAAGGACTCTATTTCAAATTCCTGATGAAACTTTTGAACCATCCATCGTAGGTGTTGCCCGAATGACTGCTTCGCATGTTTCATAAACTAAACGGAATCTAAATATCCAGAAAGTAAATACATAAAAGCTTGAAAATTGCTGGTCAAAGAACGTCTAATAATGGTCAAAACATTACTCTGTACGTGCAAGCGCGGGAATATTGCATTGCAATTAGATGCTTGGGAAGTGATGAGCTGAGCATCTATCGGATTTACAGTGAAGATTCTTCATAGATGTTGTAGAATGAAATCGATGGATACAATCATTATGTTGAAAAAGATCGAGGCAAGCTTTAATGAAGATGAGAAGCCAAAATTAAGTAACTTACTTGCGTTTACGTTATCGAGGGCATTTGCGATGCAGTCGATCGAGTCATAGAAGTCGTCATTAAATTCGTCTTCGGTTTCCTTGCCAACGGCAACCGTGTGAGTCTCGATCTTGACATCACTGTTCATCCGTTGAGCCTGTTAAATTTGGTCATGAAGAAATTGTTTTTTATCACCATGAAACGTATTGGCTCATTCCCAGCCGAATAAACTTGCGCCAAACAAATACGGAAGGCATACTCTAATGTCGTTGAAGCGAATCCAATTAAAAATCTTCATCAAATTTCGTTTAAAAATGCATGCACAACAAAATCACAGAGGTATTGTGTCCGCTCCATTTCAGACGGGATGGGTTGTTATTCATGCAAAACCCGACAACAATTTACATTCCATTAATATGAAAACGTTTTCAACTCGCATATTTTTGTTAGGGGAAAAATGATGTGTTTTTCCTTGTTGGAATAAAACTTCTTCTATATGCATGCTCCAGTCAAGCGTATTTTCGATTATCACCTCCGTAGTTGATGAATATTCATGCATATATGTTAATCAGACAAGATTCCGTCTTACCGCGCGTTATAAATAATCCTCTGAATGCATTTTGAGGATTATAAGCGCATTTTTCCTCTGCTATTGTTTGAATAATTATGAATTTATCATAAAAGGTACAGAATTGGCGAGTGTGATGCAGAGTAGTACTGTACTTGTATATGCAATACTGTATTGCACACTAATTAAAAACTCGAGAGGCACCGTGTACTGATCAGCTTTACGAACTTTTTATGAAAAGTTATTCGGACCAGAGATAAGCAAATACTGTATTCGCTTTTCTGGGCATACAATTTGAAAATCAGTCGTCAGTCGAGACTCGAGAGCAAATATTGAGATCATAAAATGGGCATCGAGTTTGTCTTTGAAATTGAAAAAACAGAAAAGCGACGAATAGACTGCTGGGTGAACTGGTATTTTACGCATTTGACAATCCATATAGCGTGCTAGGCGCGCGTAAAGTAAATAATGTACTGTACATTAGAATATGGTACAATTTACTCACTGCAGTCGCTGCGGCCAACGATTTTGGGTGATGAATATCCTTCGATCTAAACAGAAATTGGCGATTCAAGTTTGATTTTTCAATCAAATCCATGTCCGTGATTACGAGGCGTCCGTCTGGAGCTGAAAATTTAGGGCCTGGTTTTGAAGTATGGCATTGCTTGTCATTTTAATGGTCTCTTACCTGACCCGATTCCCATCATCACAAAGCTTTTTAGGAGCTCACAACCGATAGCTCCAGCTCCTACGATAAAAACCCGGAAATTCTTCAATTTATCTTGGAAATCCTTGCCCAATAAGGTTATTTGACCACTGTATCTTGATTCCTGTGATGCGGAGAGAATAAGTTCGTGAGCGCAAGCAAGCACGCATCGTCGTGAGAGTGACATCTAGCCGTTACAAGAATCCGAAGCGCTCGCGAAGCTGAATAGGTGCTGCTCTAAACTGAAACTGACAGTCCTTGCATAGAAGAATCGTGTGGCTGCTCAGAATATACATCATTACAGCAGTGATTAATGCAGTATTTTTAATTTTTACGCGCCCTCTGACTAATTATGTATTTTTCCACTTTGTAATGACACCATATTTGATACCAGGGTAGGTTTATTCCTACGAATATAACAGCCGGAAAAACGCCATGCAATATATACCATGTGGTATGAAATTATTTTTTCACGTTTTCGAAACGTTTTTACTGATTCGAACAAATTTCTTAACTCTGTTCGTCCAAGAATAACAGTATAATGAGAGTACCAATTAAGTACTCTTGATAATGTTACTCCTTATAACCCGTTCAACCCACGTTGCAAACCATTGAGAACTTCGTGACATCTCTCGGGAGAAGATTTCAGTCAAAGTTTTGAGACACGCGCACGTTTTGACAAAATTAATGAAAAATCCACAATTCGGAATCCGCAATAAGTGAATTAAAAATTTGAACGGTGATATAATCATAGTTACTCATCCATGTTTCTGTTTGACATTTAACATGTCTTGCGCCATGAGGCGATGATTGGGGAATGTAATTTAATCTGAAAGGCGAGGCATTATTCAAAGAATCCTGTGTAACGATTTATGGTCCAATTTTTATAAAGTCCGCTTGTAATGCAGAGAGAAAGCGTCAAAGAGATTTGGGTTTCACCCGGGGAACGAACACATAATCTACTTTACTGGGCCAAGGACTATTACGGCTCATTTACCTCTGCTGAGGCCGTTGTTCCGGGTGGAGGATCCTGAGATTGGAGACACTCGAAGGCATCAAAGTAGAGGAACTGCTCGATGGGATAAAATTTCCCTGTGATGGCTTTCAGGACTTCTTGAGCTATCACGCTGCCGATGACGGAACAAATGCCGACGGTGATCCCCCGAGCCGTGTACGCGAACAGTCTCAACAGACCCTCATTCAAAGCGTCTTGAAATCCTATCCTCCTCGCTGTATCTTTCGCCAAGCTGAGAAAAGACTCCGCATCTCTCTGTCGCAGGAAAACAAAAAAAGAAGGAGCGAGAAAAGGGCATGAACTGGACGGAAGCTGTAAAGCGGCGTAGAATAATCGGGTCATCGCACTTCATCCCAAGCAGCAGGCAGCCGGCCTTCGTTCGCGTCTCGGAATGCGGAGAGGGTGACGAATGCGACGTGCAGCTGACCCGACCGGTCCAACTTGGCGAAATCTGTAACGAAGTACGCCGGGGCGGATAGGGCTTCCGAGTACTCGAGGAAGTCCACGGTTCTGGGCTTCTTCACCTGCGTGATTATCCCGCCGCCCAAGTGTGGGGAAAACCCGCTCGTGTCACATATGCTGAAGGAATCGGGACCTGAATGTTGCGTCAGAAAAAAAAAAAAAACCAAACTCCGGATCAAGTTTTTGTATAGCTTCATTCGGGGTCAGGTGGATAAATTCTGGGTCGATATTGAAAGACATGAGCAAAATTCCCGAAGGTGAGAAATTACTGCGAGAGAAAAGTTCGAGGTTCTCTCTCTCCTTTGACACATTTTTCATACTGCATGCTTAGAGTTCAGTTACAGTGAGACCCTGACACACTATCGTCACGAAGGAATTGAAGATTCAACTTATTGACTCTTCAAACAAAACCAAAAAAAAAATTGCCAGCATCTGGACAATGCCTCGTGATACTGTAACTTCATCAAAATTTCCGTTCATGAAAAAAATAGATACCTCTCTAACGACATTCCAGCACATAGACACACTTCAAAGTTTGAACATCAATAATATCCACAATAAAGGCAAGCCTAAAAAACATAATCAAGGCATTGGTGCCTTAACAACGAATCCTATCAATTTTGATGAGCTGTTGGTTCTGTGTGCTCGTTTGTGTTATTTTCCCCCGGCTTTGCAGCTGAATAAACGACGGTTTTTGTAGAAAAAAAAATTCAACCCTCCCCACGAAAACAAACGGTCAAGTTCGATTCGGCGTGTACAGGACGGTTATTGTGGTAATTAAATACCGATGATCTAGGTACCACGCTCATCTTATCAGAAAATATCAATTTACGAGAAATGAACAGTATTTTCTTTACCCAGTACTTTCACAGCAATGTGGTCCATTCCATTTAGTTCCTCCATTCCTCTGACTTCGGAAAAACGGATGGAATCACCGTCGACCAGACCATGTCTATTTCCATCCACGCAAGTTACGACCCCTTCAGGTTCCTATAAAAATTTAAATCGCATCAGATTTATAGTTCGTACAATTGAATAAAATTCGAGTGAATAGTTCAATTTTTTCTCCTTGGAATGAAATGTTCGCAGGTGAACTTCATTTTCGACGATATTTACAGGTCCAGCTATCAAATGTCTTTAAAAAGTTTCTAGTTTCAGAATAAATATTTATATGCTCTCTTTGTATCATCAGATGATTTACTGCAATGTATCATAGGACTGATGGCATTGCTGAAGCGAAGACAATGTAGAGATGAGTATCTCTACACTCCCTCTGTCTGCAATGCTGATTTATTCAAGGCTCGTCTGAATTTTATTCAGAACCCAATTTTTAGAATTTTCCAAACACCGTTCAAGTTGAAAGAGCAGCAGAGTTTGAAAATCAGATCGCTCGAAAGGAATGTGCCCATAAATTCCAGTCTTAATAGAAAAACCTTTTTTTTCGGATTGCAGAATCATGAATGCAAAAAAAGTCAGCAACGATTTCCCTTTTTTAAATCCATGCATCTCTGACTTAGAAGGGATAAATACAATTTTGCTTACTGTTACGATATTCTTCAATGCTTCAGTTCAACGGATAGAACGCTTAAAAATGTATCAAAACCTGATAACAAGAGAAAGTTGGGACACCTTCTTTATCAGGCTTTATATTGAACATGTGAATGAAACTCGGTGATGTATTGTTGTCGGGTAATTATTATTCTTTCACTCTTTTTGGCACTGAAAATGGGAAGGGAAATCGAAAATTTAAAACATGAAAGGCAGAAACAACTCAGAAACAAAATTAATGATCTGGAATGGTCAGATCTTAAATAACCTGCTTTTACAGAAGTAATCGCGGAAATCAGGTATCTGGTATCAGGTATCATACTGAACGGCGTGAGAAGATCGCAATTTTTTTCTGCAGATTTTTCTCGAGTTGTCATCATCTGATATTCTTTCGCAAAAGAAACAACAACCTGTGAAATGGTCGCGACAATGCTTCGGAGCGGCTCCTCGCCATCTGGATCACGGACGACGAAATTAGCTCCGAAATCACAGAAAATACGCCCGCATACGCCTGCAGTTTGACCGACTATGAGCGGAATCCCAGAGGCATGTGTCACCCGAGAAATCTGACAAATTTCGTCCTCGGTCGAATCGGTAAGCACTATCACCTGAAGAGAAGAAAGGCGGGGATCAGAAACAATTCGCACGCCAGTAATTGCAGTCAATGAATTCCCTCTCGCCTTGAACATTGATACGAAGTCGTCCGTCAGCGTGCCGTTATACGAATCAGTATGCACGTAGCTGTTAAGCGCGCCCAGCTGTTCGATACATGCTTCAGCACGATTTTTCCCGATGTCATCTGCGCTCAAATAAAACTGAGGAAATGCGGAGCAATTAGCACTCAGCGCCATCCAAGGGACAAATCATGCACATGGGACCGTGAGTCCTAATGCTAGTGAATTTTCGGACGGCGAGGAAACTGTCCATAAACACAACTTTTAGCCTCGAAAATATGAGCCCCTGTCATAAGGTAGCAAATTTCCGGGATGGCCCATTTCGTTGGATATACCGCGGGAATTCGGCGATGTTATAAGAGGCTAAGGCTATTCCAAGGAGTCTAGACCAAAGAGCGGGAATTATAGGGATCGCACCTGAGTGGACAAATCGTCCCAGCAAACGTCTCGGTTGTCGTGTAGTGTCACCGACCTGACGCCTGCGAGAATAATGTTCTTGGCAATTTCTACCCCTAGACCGCCGAGACCGGATACCAATACATTCGCGTCCGACATCCGAGACATGGCATCTCGACCCAACACGTAAAGTTGTCTGGAATACAGTGCTTCGTCAATATTTCCTCCCTCGATCCTGTCGTCCATGATCCCCACTGCCCCACCCTGAAAGTGAAGAAAAATAAAAATGAGCAATACTGCTCTAAAAATACAGGCACCAAAATAGCGTGGCAGACGGTTCCAGGAATCTTGTGCGAAGTTGAGCTAGAAAGTCGTATTCTGTCGTCGTTTGAACTTCACCAGCTATTTTGTAAAACGCTGGATGCATAGACTAGCCCGGAACATCGAAGATAAGTTTTCAAAGAAACGATAGGTTTAAATCTCTGACAGCTGAAAAACTGACATAAAGGTAAATTGAAGTTCAAATGGTAAAAATAATTTGTCATTAATAGGTTTTCTCGATTGACCAAAGACTCCGGAGATCAATTTGGAAGATGCTGAGGACATGAAATTTTCAAAAAAGTAAAAAATTAAACCACTGTATGTAACTTTTCTCTCAGTAAAAATTTCATTTTTCAGCATTCACTCTAATTCCATCATTCTTTTTTTGAATTGGTTCAAAATTTTCTGAATTGTTGAGAATTGCTCGAACAGCAGCACTCGTCGGTGGTAACCTTCCGAAATGATTATATGATTACCAGAACGTTCGAGAAGATTATGTAACTACCTTATCACGTTTTTTTTTCCTTTCTTTGAAAATAGAAGAAATAAGAAGGTTCATGGGATTTCTCTGGTCAATCTTACCGTTTAAATAAAATATTTTTTTAAAGGCAGGGCACCGGATTTACGAAAGACACCCGCAAAGATTCCCAAATTTTCGAAAGTTTTCTTAAAAACCACACCTGGAAAAGGGAAATACAACGAAAAATGCCGATAATTTTTTCATTGGAAATTAAGCTAAAAGAATGAATAACAAACAAACATATCAACTGGGTTTCAGAGGTTGAAATTCAAGGAAAAGTACAAGAAGTTGTTTCAAGTGCTTTACATTTACCTTTTTTCCCGTGAGCCCCAAGTTCTGAGTCATCTTCAAATTGAAGCGCGCCCAATAAAAGGATTCAATCAAACCTTCGTGAATTTTTTTTAACGTTTTTTATCCCATTTCAGCTTAGATAAAAAAACATTTTGACAGCTTAGGCCTACGGTAACCTGCACCTTCAGCATCCCAAACCAAGATCAGAAGGGTTTCTCTCCCGGAAGAATGCTAGTCAGACCTTGGAAATTGTCACATGACATATTTTCAAAGTTTTATGAACATGGTATATCCATTCGACATCCTGAATGTACGAACAAACAGGCGATTTCCTCACAGCTGTCTGTCATATGGCTTGCTTTCAGCGTGAGTGAGTCAACATTTGTAGCAGTGATCAAGGAATGATCAAGTAACACTCTGTGAGAAACTCCTTTAAAATACACCCAAATCTCTAAGCTATAAAACAGAAAAATGAATAACAATTTTGAACAAACCTTATTGGTCCTTTGCCTTCTACCGCTCCTTCAATTGTCAAATTGTTCCTCTTTTTTTCCTATGACACGACTATGAGCACCTTTCGGAGTTGGGAAAAAAAGGCCCACCTTTCTTTTGGACAATAAAACGCGTAGTGCGGAGACAGATGAGCTCAGCGTGGGAAATCATGCATCGTCACACTCGAAAAATTTCGAGGAACATTTTCTAGGACGACGGAACTTCGGAGATTCGGGATATTGTACTCACTAACCGAGCATAGTAGAAGAGAGACAAACTGAAGTGTACCTGCTCGTCGATTTCTACCAGCAGACTCGGCGTCCTGGCCTTGACCGAATCATTTTCCAACGGAGGCGTCATGCTGGTACACAATGCTCCCATCGTCTCAGCACCTGCAAGAATCGATCGATGCATTGAGTAACCTTTAAAGCCCCGGAGTTCGGAATCGGGATCGGAACACAGATGCCGCACGTAGTGCTGGGACGGGTTCCATCGCTATCATCCCGAACAAGGAGAAGCCCCGCAACGGGCTTGCGGCGAACACCGTTGCTGCCATTTTTAAGCCCGTCGGCGCATCCGCCGACAACTCCCATGTCTATCACTCCGAGCAAGCTGCTTTTAAGTAAGTATCCTTACGCCACTGCGTAATTTCAAAAACGTACGACTATGCGAAGAACCGCTTCTCCTCCTAGTCTAACTGATGATACCAACGAACAGCACGTTCAACATTCAAGTTGGATTAAATCTGCCCGGCTTGACATCACGCTGACAAAACCTGAATCCCCGATTTAACCTCCGAGATCAAGCGATTTTTCCCACAGAGGATGCCTTAATCACGCGCGGCATAGAACTTCAGTTTTGCGTGAAAAGGTACTGATGCATTATTCACGCGATTATATGCCGCGCCCCAAATTTTCACAGAGCCATCTGACGGGGAAAATCTCAAGTTTGAAAAGATGCGCTCACAAGCTTTGAGGGGGAAAGGAAACCAGGATACACTAGTGCAGTGGTATTGAAACCTGATAACGCAGTTAAATTTGGTTCACGAAATTTTTATGTTCGGTCGAATATGATGAAATAACCTGCAGTTCTAAATCACGGGCATACTTTTCTGACTCATAAAGGATTTTCTGTGTATACTCTACTTTCGTCTTACGTGACTCGTTCCGTCCGACACGATCGAATATTGGTCGCACCCTCCGTGTCACTGTGGCTTATCATCCTCGACTATCACAAGTACAGGCAGAAAACAGGGGTTTTTGGCAACTTTTTTTGGTTCAGGGAAGGTACGGCATGTAATCGCGTGGATACGGTATATAGTGGGAATCCCGTCTGTGTATGGGAATACATATACTGTAAAATGACACTTTTTTTTTCAGAGCTCAAAGCGATCTTTCATCTGCAAAAGATAGTTTCGCTAATTCGAGGAACTTGAGGGGGTGACTCTTTTCTCTTGAAGTACAATAGAGGAGGAAAGCGGATACGCGATGAAATAGCACCTGGCACCCGAAATCAACGGCGACAATAAACGCACTGGCTGGCACACTTGGAATCGTCGCGATCTCCGCAAGGCTCGCGCACGCGGCGGGTGACGGCGAAGGCGGCTTAATCTTTCCTGTCACTGTCGAGCCAGCCAGAGCAGCAGAACGTTACGACGAAACGTCACTTTGACGAGGAGGTTTTTCCGTTCGTTCAGTAAATGCGCATATAAGCGCGATGTCACTGCTGGCACTCGAGCACGGCTGAATATCCCTCTTCGGAAATGTCCCAGGAACAGGCACACTATCGATTTGTCAAGCATGAAAACCTTACTTTATGCATAAATGAGCGAAATTTGGTCCCTCGAGTAATCTATGCCGAAAGATTTCACCGGATATAAATTCCAACAGACCAAAGGCAATTGTTAAGAAATTTTAATTGCGACAGCTACAGCACATTTGATGGGTGTACGTGCTGCAAGTGAGTAAATCGTTTGAATTTCATCAGTGGCGAATAATTTTGCGACAGGAATATAAAATCATGAAGTGTTTGACATATCAGACAGGCATTATTTCATAAATACCGTTATAATTGCACGAGGTTCGACAGCAGTAACAGCGATTCCAGGGGTGCAATGTGTATAATAGGCCGCAAAAACGAGGAGAATTTTTGAGAGAAACTGCGACTTATACATGAACGCAACCTGAAAAAATTATTATGGGGTTTCAACAACAAAAAAAGATTTTCAGGCACCAAAGATTCTTGCCAGTGCTGTGTTACATGTTTAGGGTCGGAAATACGCCAACGAAAAAGCTTATTCCAAGTTCCCCACAGATTTTGCGTCAACTTGAGTATAATCCAAATATATGCGGTCGCGTTACGGTGTAAATGTCATGTACTCCCTGAAGTTAAAAAATGTCGTTCTCCGAAAAATGTGGCAATAAAAGCCGAAATGCGGTCAAATTATCTGGACCGAGAATTCATTTGTGCCGATATCTTTCATACAATCGTGCGTCTGATCCCAGTATATAGACCACCGGTGCATTGGTCAAGAGATTTAAAATCTCATCATATTTTGATCCCACGAGAATTTTATTTCAAAGGTTCCACGAATATAAGTTTCAACAGATCATTTTATCAATTACTTTGTGAAAATTGGGTAGCATGTCAGAGGGCGCTTGGTGAGCATTATATGAGAGATATTGAAGCTTCGGGTTTCTTGGGCACTGCAGAGACGAATTACTGTATATTTAGTCTAAATTTATCTTCTAAGCTTATCCTTAATTTATCATTATGGATACCGAACCGAAATTTTCCATGTTCACAATTAAACGGAGTTCTTCGACCTTTTTCACTCACAGGGTTGAAAAATGAATTTCAACCGCGGCGCATTATTTCCAACATTAATTCATGATAGAACCGTTCATAGGTACGCCTTGCGCATCCCTTGCCCTGAAAGGTATCTTCATATTTCGAACGAAAAAGCGGACTTCCAATTTTTTTTCACTACCTTATACATTTCTTCAGTTTATGAACCAAGTGCATCTCATTTCATGTGGCTTTGATCGTATCATGCGAATACCTTTAATATCTCCGCAGGTTTCGTTAGCTCAGTGAAATCGTGCAATCTCGAAATAATGATTCTCAAAAAGTTGAGAATCATTACTTCAGGATTGCACGGAATACCAAGCGACGGGAAATGAGCACCGTCGCATTTTTCGGAGAGGGGAAAAAATCAATGTAAGAACTGCTCGGGAAAACAGGGTTGGCGTCCACCTCATGACACCAATTGGCCAACTTGCGACAATCTATCCTAGTTGTAAAACTATGCCAGCGTCATCGGAAGCAAGAGCTCCGCGGGGTAAAAATCGATCAAGAGTAACGGACGAAGTGCTTGAAAACAGGTACTGTCACGGCACTTCGCGACGTACTCACGTTCACTGCGAGGCTTCGAAAGAGTTGGAACTGCCAAGTCCTCGCGTAATCAAACCGCTATCAGGATGTCCCCAAAATTCTGCGCGTCACTGTTGATCATGTTTCGTGGATGATGAAACACGATGACCCCGAGAAGCGACGATTCATTTACTCGAGTAACCGTTGAAATAACGTGGTAACGCAGAGGTAAAATCCCATCAAAGTCTAGATGATTTTCTTCTTGCTCGCAAAGGTCATGACCTCATGAATTGAATGGCGTGAGATGATGTGTGCCTTGTAGGCGACCCAGGAAAATATCAAAGTACACGCCTCTACACGACTACTGTAAACTGATTCGAGATTATCGTATCAAGAGATTTCATGTTAATCTCGGGAAGTAGCTTCATCAGGTTTTCTCGGGATTTTGTGGATCATGGCGCTGTGTCAGGTTCATCTTCATGGCCGAGTTTGAGACGTATACCTTTCAGGTGCTAATGAAAGAAGACAAATCTTGGATATGAGGTCATATGAAAGGTTCTGGGAATGACTTGAATTATCCAAATTTCTCATGAACATCTTCGTCGGAAATATTTTCATCAAGATCGAATGACTACGCTAACGATCCGGGATTCTTTTTCTGGACAATCAACGAATCCAGTTCCAACCTAATTAAATGTTTACTAAATTAGAAAAGCTTTCAAAAGGAGTCTTTGCAGTTGATCTTGATTGACAAAAGCTTGTTCATTTCATGCTTCAACTGCTGCTGCCATAGGCACGAAACACACGAAAAAAAAAAAGATAATTAAACATCACGAGGAATGTCAAGGGAAAAGAGAACGTCTATTGTTTGTAGAGGCATTCCTTCTGGAAAGCAGATTGTGTCACTCCAATAGTTTCTATCACGGTCGCTGAGCAGTTCCCTGATAATTTCAAATAAAATATTTTTTTCTCGCCCGCGGGAGTAGAAAATGTTAACTTATTGAAGCTTCAATTAAAGACGGGCAGCAGCAGTACGGTAAACAGTTCTAGAGCACAATTTTATTTCAATTTGCCGATCATCATACAAATTTAATTAATATGTCTATGCTGTCTCTTCATCCGCATATGTTCCCGAACGAACTTTTCATTGGAAATTGACTCTTTATAGATATTCAATAACTTTTCATGATGTTTGCATGCAACCATAAAGATTTTCCTTCCACTCGAAAATTATACCTAGAACGCTTCTTAAATTCTCCCGAATGTTATTGTCGAGGGTTTTATAGTGTTCCCTGTGAAGGGAAAAATGTTCGGAATTAGGGACTGCTACGTCCTAAAACATTCAGAAGATAAAGCCATGAAAAAGTAATGGACAAAACCATGAATATTTTAGCGTTAACAGCTAGGGGTAAATACGTAAACCAGAGGACGGAGGATCATGGCCCTAAGATATGTTCATCAATCGATTTTGAAATCCACCACAAGATATAGGTCAACCCTCGCACTTCACCCATTATACGGGACCCGCTATGTAGTCACTAAAATACTGAAGGCGCTTGGCAGTCGCTTTTTTTGTCTTGTTTTGTGGCTTTTGAAATGGCAGGCTTTACGAAACCACCCGTGGATAATTCTCGTTCAGTGCTTCCGGGGCACAGATTCGTTTCTTCCCCAGTTACGTCGCAGGTCGGAGACACCCTTGCCGCACCAACGTAATTCTTCTGGTCGATGTCGATTAGTAGCAATGCGAAGACTACCTCGACGGGTTGCTGGAGCAGATATCGACTTCCACTATTGGGCACAAAAAAATATATATATATATGTATATATGTATGTACTGTGCTGTATATATTGCATTCATCCCCGCAAGTGCCGCGCCCGCTTTCATGTTGTGAGGGTTCGCGGAATCATCGATTCCAGACTGCGTGCTCCTGGGAACACGCCGTTGCCAACGACGGAAACCCCGATGACGAATTCAAGCTGCCACTCATTCTTGGTTCGTGACTTCTCGTATTCATTGCAGGTAGCCAGCCAGCAAGGTCGGGGTCGGGAGAAGGAATGCGAAGGAAACGAATTATTGGGCAGATGAAAAAAATACCCCCGGTGCGGACAGTAATGACGAGTACACAGACAACATGGCTCTTCAATACAGTATTTTCGTGATTTTACCCCTTTTCCAGCAGACGAAGCAGTTTTTGCGTTACACCTGCCGGGAACCGCGGGCTCCTGTGACTTCAAATCAAATTAAAGTCGTAATACGGCGTGGATGTTTCTTCTGTCCATACTCCACACTGGTACAATTATCGTTCTAATTTCCAGAAGCTTGATTTTGAATGACGGTAAAGGC